AAAATACAATTCTGCTAAAATCTGTCTATGCCTCCTGGATCCTATCACGGGTCACCATTGATGTAGCGGTATTAATGGCCTAAATCAACTTGTACATCTTTTTTCTTTACAAACATGTAAGCAAACAAAAAGCAAACAAGAGAAACAACATGAAAATTGTTTTTACAATAATAAAAAATATTCATATTTAATAATTAATAAGAGTTTCTTTGACTGGAATTAAAGTCTTTACTAAAGAAATATTTTTATCTGAGCTCATAAAAAGTTGAATGAACTTGCCACTTAAAATGTTCACCATGAGAGAGTTGGAAGAAATCTCTAAAGCTGAGAATAGGTTGATAAACTTTTAACTTCAGAAGAGTTGAAGGAGTGAATGTTCTGTAATGTTTGTAATTAAGTATCTGTTGCTTTTAATGTTCTGTAATATTCAAGTTTCTGTTGCTAGTAATGTTCTGTAATGTTGCATACGTAAGTGTATGTATGTGTGTATGATGGCGTTTCATAGCATTTGCCGGAACTGGATTGAAACGCTTTTTCATAAAATCCTACATTGTTGATAGGCAATAGAAATTAAAAGAGGAAGAACAAACATGTGTCAATGTATTTATAACCAATGTGGTCCCGTGATAGGCTCTAGAAGGCATAGATAGATTTTTGGTGGAAATGTATTTTTGTTCAGGTCAGGAACTTGGTTGGTGTTATTCGAACGTAATTGAAAACATGATTTAAATATTAACTGACCAACGAGAAGTGAGAAAAATATCAAGGCTCTGTGATCCACTATTTGTACAGAATTTGGCATTGAAAGAAAGTGGTAGCAGAATCCTATAAGACAAATATAGCAATCATCTGCATGGCTTTGTTGTTCCCTCCAAATCATTAGAACAGCAAAGCTGAAGGCTACTTTTTTGCCATTAAACCATGCACTTAATCCATTATAACAGGGATTACAACAGATATGCAGGGCCAAGGGCTTGTCCTAGTGTCCAATTTTATAGTTAAAGTAATGAAAGTAAACAGTTCTTATGAAGGAAATAATTGTTTGGTGGTGTGCAACTGTTGTAAAATCTCTACATATGTAACAGATTGAATTTATCTTATCGATGCATTGTTGGTGTTTTGAAGTGACTGAAACCATTGTAGAGATATGTATTAGATTACAAAAATCTGGAAAACTAAATAAAAATTAATCATATATATGGTTACACTTATGTGTATTGAGCATTTAAAGAAGAGGATTCCAAACAATGAAGGTGGCTATTATGTAAGTTTTTTTCAATAAGAACACAATTCCTAAAATTTCAAATTTTTAAAAAAGAACACAATGTCCTAAAAATAGGACACATTTGGCAGCCTTGCATGGATGCACATGTAGACATTTACATACATGTATACATGTATATTTCAAAAACTAGAGGTGGTAAGTTAAAACGGATTTCCTATCTGAAAACAGTACACAAAAATTCTGTTATTACAATTATTTTTTATGCTTGCTCAATTTCTTTGTAAACCAGTGTAATTAAAGATAGAAACCAGTTTAAGGGAGGTAACTGCTAATTGCAAAGTTGTTTCAATTTAGTTTCGTAATAAACGTTTATGGTCCGTTTACTGTTTATTGCTATGCGTCATTATTGATGCCATCATTTTAAAAATACTGAGACATTTAAGCTGTTTTTGTACTTATAATGAAAACTCGGAATCTAGTTCGGCTTATTGTGTCTTTGTTGAACGTAACTGAAGTGTCTTTCCATTTTGGCTAAGACGGCGTAACTTATACAAATCGTAAGACAGGGGAGGTAATCGGTTTGCTTTACCACAGTACTTTTGCTTCTTTTTTATGTACCGTATCCCCTCAGGACGTAGGCGATCATGGCTCGCCACAATTTTTTGTCCTTTTGTAGCTCTTAATAAATTTTGTCTTTTTGCTATTTCTTCTTCAACCCTATTCTGCCATCCATCTACTTAAGCTCAGTATATTATGCACTGTTTTCCTATGTCTCTCTTGCCTTCAATCTGTCCTGTGAGTATCAGATTTTCCAAGCCCTCTTGTGCACAAAAAATTTCAATTGTCTCTTCCTGATGTTAAGCATAAGTTTCCTATTTGTTTCTATTTTGTCTACAAACCTCACCATTGCTCAAATGTTTGGTCCATAGTATTCTCAGCATCCTTCTGCAGAACCGCATTTCTGTTACTTCAAGTCTGTTCTTCATCTTTGATGAGATTGTCCAGAATTCACTGCCATATAGGAGGACAGATATCACGTAATAGTTCAATACTCTTTTCTGTTTCTAACAAAGTTTTTTTGTCTTTTAATACCCTGCTTAGTTTTTGGAAAGCAACTTTCAATATCCCAATGCAACTTTGGATTTTAGTATCAAACTTTCCGACCTCTGTTAGAACACTTTCCACATATTTAAATGTTTGTATTTGTTTTATTTTGGTATCTATGATTTGTAATTTGCATTTTGGGTTCATCTTTTTGCTAACAACCATACAATCTGTCTTTTTGTAGTTTATGTTTAGTCCTTTCTTCCTGCTTTTCTTCACTACCTTCAGTAAGAGTTCTTGTAGTTTCCTTCCCTTATCTGCTATCAACAGTGTATTATCTACATTTCTTATGTTGTTAAGATTGTGGCTGCCAATAATGAATCCTGGTAGGACTTTTAATTCTCTCGGAATTGCTTCACTGTATGGGTTGATTAAATCCAGTGAGAACATACATCTGTAGCGGGTTGAATGGCCTCGAATCAACCTGTACTATTTTTTTACTTTACAGATGTGCTAACAAGGAATAAGCAAATAAGAAGAATAACATTCAAGAAGAAAAATTGCATAAATAAATGGAATTTATATATGCATAACAACAATTAAACAGACAATAATTCAGTTGTGTTTTAAATACTGAAATTTACTTGTCCTTGGAATTTTCAGTGAGAAAATTGTTCTTGTTGATAAACTGTGAAGTGCATTAAAAAGTGTGTGAGTTTGAAGAACTTTAGTAAGATGTGCTGTTACTTGTAAGAGAATGAAACAGTTTGTTACTCACAATGTTAAGTGTTCCTGTAGTTGAAAGTTCAATGTTTAAATATACCAGGAGTTATTTACCTTTAACTGCTAGTTTGAATTGCTTAAGGCTTTCAAATAACTTGTTGAGCAAGAGAAAATTGTAGTCTTTGCTTGAAAATCGAGAAGTAGAATTTAGTATTAAAAATGTAGTTTTTTAGTTTAATACTTCCAAGTTGAAATTCAACATAAATATATTGAAGTATTTTGCCATTCAAATTCATTCACTGAAAAGGGATGAAATCGATTGAGATGAATTGTCAAAAATCATACATGCTCAGGTGGCGTGCTATTTGCTGATGAAAATCTCACTGTTAGAAGTTGATAAATTTCTGTGTCCTTGTAGCTGAATGAGTGAATAGATGTTCATAGTTGTTTGTACATACGTGAGTGTGTGTGTGTGTGTGTGTGTGCGTGTGTGTGTGTCATGACGTTTCATAGTGTTTTCTCCAAAGGGACAAAATACAATTTCTCTACTGAACTACATTGCTGTAGGCCTGAGAAGGAAGAAAAAGAAAGAATCAAGATGTCATTAAGTATTTGTAATTAATGTGAATCATGTGATAGGCTCAATAACACATAACCAGATTTTGGCAGTAAATTGACTTCAAACACTTGTGCATAGGTTGCTGTAATGTTTTTCACATATATTAGCCAATCAAAAGTCAAAAAATTATTCAAGGCCTCTGTGATCCCCTTTGGTGTTTAGCTTGTACAAAAATTGTCATTGAAAGAAACTGTTACATATAATACAATTGAGTGGTAGCAGAATGCTAAATATCCTTGTCTTATGTCCTTTTTTATGTTTGTATATCTGCTGAACACATTTTCTATTCATATGCAGGCAGTTTGCTGCCAGTATAGGTTGACTATTCTAATATCCTTCCCAAATATGTCAAGTTTACTGAGCAGTTCTAGATCTTTGTGGCATGCTTTATCAAACACTTTTATATAATCTATAAAAAACAGTTACATGTCCTTCTGTATTTGTATTGTTCTTTCTGATGACATTCTAAGTATAAATATCATGTTCCTTGTCCCAGTGTCTTTGACAAACTCACACTATTCTTGTCATATTTCCAATCTGATTCTGTTGCCCACTCTATTCATTTGAATTTGGATTGAAAGGGTTTACATTAGCAGTGAAAAGATTAACTTGTAGGTGCACTTCAACGTCAATGTTTATAAGACTTCATTGTGAACAAATATTTTTAAAATACTGTAAAATTTCCATATGTTTTCACTAGTTATTATTAATTTGCAAATTGGACAGGCAATCACTTTTCTTCAAGTATATTTGCAATAACCTTGGTTGTTGTTGCTATTGATCTTGCTAAATTGTTGCTGCTGGGCATAAGATGTTTAGGACAGTCTCAGTCTTTCTTTAAAATATAGCAAGATGCCCAAATACTTTTAGTTTAGTCCAAAATCAAAAGTTAACTTATAACAAATATGGCATATGACCAAGTAAAGTTAGTCCCATGAATACATAAGACTAAGTACAAAAATTACTCAGCTCCCTCGCTATTTCTCTTTTGAGATGTTTCAGTCACCAAGGATTAACCCTAGCTCTCATTCTTAGAAGATGTACTGTCTCTAGGCTAGGAGTACAGATTCCTGAAGTAAATAGTAAAACCCTGTATAAGTGGTACAACTTCCTGAAGTATAGTAATAAACCTGTATAAAAATGTAAATTTTTAAATCTTTAAAAAAATTTATAGCTTAGTTTGGGCGCACATCTATAGATATGAGAGACTCAGTGACTATTGAATTCACTATTTAATAGTAATGATTTTTGAGATTGGCTTTTTAAGCATGACCCCATACTGTAGTGCTCAAGTTATTTTATGTAATTAAGAGATTTATTTTTCAAGGGAGGTAATTATATCATAAAGAGTTATCCGCCCCTTCTCTTAATTATTTGTTTTTCTTTAAAATGGCAGACCGTAACCCAGGAGTTGATTATGGTGAGTAAAAAAAAAACTTTTTAAAAGTTGTCATTCCAAGCTTTTAATATATATAAAAAGATCTCTTCATATTAGTAACATAAATGAAATTATGATTTACTCTAAACTTTCACCGAACATGTTATTTTCATAAAAACTAGAATTACAAACATGCTCTTAAAAAAAATAAACTTGTCAAAGTTTTTTTTCATAATTTTTTTTATACAAACTTTTATTAAAATTAAAATTTATCTCGTTGTAAAAAGACTCGTCATATGTAATTATAAATTTCATTTTTGTTTATAATAAACTGTTAAATAAAAATAGGATATAATGTGTTGTTAAAAGTAACTTTTTTCTCCTTCCGCACTTTTTTTTTTTTTGTTAAACTTTGAACTTTTCATCCCCATTTCACGTGATCAACAGGACTTGCTTTCCTTTTTCTTTATTGCTTAGTAATTTTTTTTGTATCCTACTGCGTGTTGAAAAATAAAATAACATTACTTATTACTACTGTGTAACCTCTTCTTAAGTAATGTTTTTCTTTGTTTAATTTTGTTTTATTAACTCATTTATTGGGTTTTAAATCAATAAGTCCGTAGCTTAATGATGAAAAAAATAAAGGCGTTTTTATTTTTACACAAATATTTTTCAAAATTGTCAGAGCAAATCAATTCAATAGTAAATATTCATTTTATTATAATAATTATACACTGAAAATATCAGATCAAAATTCAACTGATAACTTTGTTAATGCGGAAAGACAGCTTGGAGAATTACACACTCAGAGGACGTGTTGAAAGCAAGAGGACTAGAGAAGGAAACGGCGAATAACCTACCGAACAAGGTTGTGTCAGAAATGAATAGCAGAGCAAGTAGTGGGATGGATAGTAAAAAAAAAAAAAAAAAAAACTTGCTAAGAACTGCAAAGAATAGGAAGTTGTGGAGAGCCATGATCGCTCAAGTCCTGAATGGACACATCACATAAAAGAACGAGATCCACTTTCTTTTATATGCATAACGGCAGTTTTTCTTTTTAAACAATTTTATTGCGCATTGGATCCGCGTGACGTGAAATCACGCACAACTTTCACTTTAAGGCATTCAAAAACTAATAAAATCGATATTCATTTCTAACAGATCGCAACATTTATCAGTGATGAAATTTACATTTTTATTATTCCAAAATTTTAACACATCAGCAGAATATAAACTGGAGCACAAATAGTTAGTAATAAAAAATAATTATTATCCATAACTACATACAAGAATTTTGTTTTTGATAAAAGTTTAAAAATAACCATATGATAAAAAATGCGTATATTGTCGAAAATTTCTTTTTCCACAAATAGGTACCTCCAACAATTCGCTAAAAAATCAGTAAATGATAAAAGGACCGAAACTTAATAAAAACAAAGTTTCATCATTAATGTTTAAAGGAAAGAACAAAGTATTTTTTAAATATTTTTAAAAAAATTTTCCTTCTTTCTAACACGTTCTAAATTGGGGTAAAAAATCTCTTTTTTTTTGTTAATTCCGTTTGTGGTCATCGCTTTTTTTAGTGTAGCAGTTTCGAGGGAAACCCATTAATTTGGAAATTCTTGCAAAAACCAAATAATTGTCTAATTTAAAATGAAACTTTCAGGACTTATTCAAAAATGATTTAATTTATTTTTGAAATTTTTATTTTTAGAAAATCAATCACATCTCCATAATATCTGTCGCTACCTGTAAATTAAGAAACTCTCTTAGTTTTTTCTTAAAAACATTGACACAAAAAACATTTGCATCCATAATTTGCGTGAAATGTGGCTAGTTTTCGTTCAATTGAACATCGGCGGCCAACTTAATTTTTCTCAAAAATAAAAAGTTACCGATAGAAATGAATGTCATACTGAAACAAAGCAAATACATTTTCATACAAAAAAAATAAAATAAAAATAAAAAACTGTTATTCTAGTTAAAAAAACAAAAAAAAAACGAATCTTATTCTTTTTTATTTTTTGTGTCTTTCTATTTGGATTTTTTTACATTTCTTTCGCAGCTATATTTGTGTAAAAAAAACAGGCATAAAATAATGGTTGTTTTACATTCAATTCACACTTCTTAATTAAACATTGGCTGTCATAAATCCGGTCACAAAGTCTCTACATGAAAATGTTTCTCGTTTTGTTACTTTTGTTTCACACTTTTTTGTTTATCTATTTTCTCAACCAATTCAACACTTCGTTTTTGATCAACACACGACACCTTCTCAACTCAATGACCCCCTCACTTAATAATGACAACATAGTTTGACTATTATTTTTAATAACTACTTCTTAGGTCCTTGAAAAATACCTTGTTAAGTAATAATGTTATTGCACTTTGATTAAAAAATCTTTTACAGTAACCATTACAAATATTCACAGTTTGTGCAAACTGAATGTCAAATTTTCTTTGAAGTTGTACTATTTTATAAAGTGGAGGCATGCTTACAGTGTTAAGAAAATTTTGGTGGACATACATATATATGTGTTAAGTTAACATATCTATGACCACTATAAAATTTGGTATTGTAAAAATAAAATAAGCATTTACTATTATAGAATTTTTAAAAATTATTAATTATAGGTTTTTCTACATTAAAGTCCACCAAAATTGGGCAGTGGACTATGAATGGGTAAATAAACAATAAAGAAGAAAATAGTGATTGAGTTATTCAGTCAACAATAAAGTTTGTCATTTCTGTTTATCTCTAAAGCTTGTAACTTTGTGCATAAAGAAAAAATGTTATCACAATATTTGCCATGGTATTTTTATTTTCTGATTAGTTTTTTCTTTGAGGTCAAACTTGAAAACAAAAGGAGACAAATGTTAGGTACTTGAAGATAAAATAGTTACCTAAGTTATCTACCAAAAAGCCTCTTAGATATTTTTTTATATACCAGAAGATTATATTGATATCTATTTTTTGTATTCTTAAGACCAGAATGTCTTTATTTTTCTTCACCATATAAACTGAAATGCCAAATATTTCTTCACTTATAGAAATGAATTCTGATGATGTATGTGTGATATCATAGTTAAAGAAGTAGTGTAGCTATGTCATACCAACTGCATAGAACATTACTTGACTACAAAATAATGGGGCACTTGGACTCAAGGTTTTACTCAGGCAAAAGTAGCAAGAACATACCATGAATATGTAAATTTCAGAAAGACATGAGTGGCAAGTGAAACTGCAGGTATATAGGAATTAAATCCTGTGTATCTATATATATTTTTCAATCAACAAAATCCCATCATAAGGTTTGTTTGATAAACAACAAATACTACCAAAATACTTGCTGATATAGTTGTAGACCTACCACATTTTATTTTGGAACCATTTTAAAAATAACAATAACAACTCCTTTCCCAACTCCCGCAAATTTGAGAAAAAGATTTTTGCAAGCCAATGTGAAATTATTTTCTAACTAATGAAAACTGTGTATTCAAAAAGTTCACACCTCTATATGAAATTAGATTTTGGATCACCCTCATGGATATAAAAATAGAAGCATACTTCTTTTCGGAGTTCAAAACAATTTTGAAGGCCTGTTTGATCTACACATACATACACATGCACATAATGGAAGAGACAACAGCCAGTAACCACCATGGAAGGCCTTGTCCATGCACTGAAAGAAATATTAGGCTGTCTACATGTTTGACACTGCACTATGAACACTTAGTTACTTTATAAAACAAACTTCACTACAAGGAAAATTGAACATTTTATTGTTATTATATATTTCTGAAAATAATATCTAAATGTTATTTCAATTGATGTTCTGCTTTTACTATTCCTTCAATGAATAAACTTTTTCATGTTTCATTTAAAAGATATGTTGTTTTTGTTAAATATTTGGAATCCCAACATGCAGAAAAGGACCTGGGTAGATGGATCCCAACAGTGATGAAAAACTACCTGCAACTAAATGGATGGTAATTACCATGGAGTTTCATCATCATCCAACACTGGGACTATTATTGAAACCATGCCATGTTACTATACTGATCCTGATCTGGGTTCTATAGTCTTGGATAGCAACTGATCTACTGCAGAAAGAAATGGAAACCTAAAAAAAATCTGAATCATCAGTCATGTATCAAAAGATACATGATCGCCTAAGCGCGTATCATGCGTGGCACATAACTGACTGTTTTCTAATTTGGTATTTTAATTTATATAGGAGAGTGAGAATAGATGACGCATTTTTCTAACTTTTAAAACATTTAATTTTTATGAACAAATATGTCTCCTGCAATAAATCTTGTGGAAATTTGGTAAATTAATAACAGCTGTTTACTTAGAGAAGACTGAAGGAAATATGATTATTGAACATTCCTTTTCCTGAATGAATATAAAAATACTATTTTTATTTTTTTATTTTTTTTTCATAAGAACATTGTCATATCTTTATGTCAGACATTTAGCAATTTCAAAGAAATGATGCTTATTGTTTTTGTTCCTGGTTGTTGAGACTAAAAGCTGGAGAATGCTGACACTCTACCAAGTTTATATTTGTAAAATTTAACTATTTATATAGAAATAGTAACTTCAGGACATATTTTTCATTTTAATATTTCATATTCTTTTACTGTTTATCATTTAGATGAAACATGGTTACACAACATTTATATCAACTTACCAGCAGTAAAAAGACGGGCTGACACATTGGCTACTCGTCGAACTGTAAAGAAACAATGGCAGGTAACACATTTATGCAAGTAAAAAATCACTCTTCTTTCTTTCTATATAACAGCTTGTTCTTTCTATCTTAGTTTTTTGACAAAGCATTGCCTTCTATTTTAATACCTGCATATATATATGTGTGTAACATTCTACACTCCAATCAAAGAAATTCTTATTGCACCAATCAATATGAAATTTAAATGAAAGATATTTTGTTATGAGAAGGACAAAGTAGCTCTTACAACAAATATTTGTGGATGGTCACCATTGATGTTTTGTACATTTAAGTTACTTATTATAATTGCTGTCTATACAAGTATCTTAAATGCTTCAATGAAAAATTGAGTTGGAATGAATATTTACAATTATATCAGTTTCATGTTTTTTATTTAATTTTAAAAGTATTTTAGTTGGGATGATCTATATTATAAAAAAGAGCTGATTGTCTGTCCATCATGCACTGTCTGTCTGTGACTTTACAAGTCACAGGCAGACAGTGCTTGATGGACAGGTAATGTAAAACAGAAAACAAGAGTAGCTGGACATTATGTAATATACAAGGATGGGCTGAAAAGTTCATAGACTGACTATGCAGTTATTAATAAGAGTTGAAATTAATGCATGCAAGATTTCACAACTCTAGCGTCATTCCTTTATAGTCAGCTTATGAACTTTTCAGCCCACCCTCGTATATATGTATGTCTATGCAGTGCATGAGTGACTTGTGGCATTTAATGTACACATGAACACACACACATTTGCACACAATTTAACTGAATTTGTAATAAGACAATGGAATAAAACATTCCACTCCCACTCACTCTGGACAACCCCGACCATGGACCCTAATCTTATAACTATTCCCATGCAAATAACTTAGTAGTGCCATCTATCTTTCCAAACTGCCATTTTGTCAAGGGGAATTAACTCAGCAGAAATTTAATCTTGCCATCAGAGAAGCCGCAGGTACCAAACTAGTTGTAATAATAATATCATCATCAGCTGATCTACTCTCATAAATTTTTATCAGCTGTATTATTTCTTTTCATATAATGACAAAATCATAGTTTGTTTATCTTTATCATGTTATTCTGAATTTAATTTCATGCTTATCCATCTGTAATTGATCCTGGATTGGTATGTATCAAAAATCCTAAGTTATGATGGCAATTAAATTTTTTGCTACTCAACCTATCTCCCTAGCTAATCTCATAAATAAACATGAATAAGATTATTAAGACAATTCAACAATTCCAAAAACCATCCATTTATGTTGAAACATGAATCTTATTCAATATTAGGTGAATTTTTTGCACTTTATTTATTTTGGGCCATCCATCCAAAAGTTATTATGATGGTTCTTTTCAAGGAATGGTGTGTGCATGAGTAGATTTTTTTAAGTGAGTAAAGGGTTGAACAGATCCAAGTCAACACTCTCAACATCCCTCCCAGAATGAAATTAGCAGGGTGGGGTCTAGGGGAGAATTAGTTGTAGTGAATGGTCAAACCAAACTTCAAGGAAAGATGAATTTGTGTCAAGCTTCATAGCTTGTGTACACCCAACCAGTTTGAATTAAGAATTTTCTTTCCGTACTGGCTACCACACAAATCTAGAAACCTCAGTCACTTTTGTTATTTAATCCACAACTGGGGGGGGGTGATTCATGCCTTTTCCAAGGACATTAGTGCAAGCACAACAGACTTGATCAGAATCACTGATTCCACTTTTTATCCCAATAACTGTTACACTACTTGCACATGCACTTTTTAGTGCAATATGAACATTATTTCACATATTCGGGGTTCTATAGAATAATTTTATTTTTTGCTCTATTACTACTTTGGTTTCATGTTAAAAATTGGAATATTTAAATTTATATCAGCATATTTTTCTATGTGTAACTTGGACTTTTCCCCCCCAATATGGCTTAATTTTTTGGACCTACCAGTAATGTTTATTTTTCTTCTTCTTTACAGGCTGCTTGGCTTCTGCGAGCTGTCACATGCATTGACTTGACCACCCTGTCAGGAGATGACACTTATTCCAATGTAGAGAGACTCTGTTTCAAGGCCAAACACCCAATCCAAAATAACTTGTTGAAAGCCCTCAATATGCAAGACAAAGGTTGGCACAATCAATTAGCAGCAGCAATGCAATTTATAATCATGCAATAGAATGTTAACAAGTTTTTTTACACAGCCAAGTGTTCAAATGTAGAAACTTTTCTAATGTAAACTTCATCAGATATATTTGTTACTTCCAGTTTAATAGAACTTCATCATAAGATATTGAGTGTCTTCTTTTTTCCTACTTGTTTTTTTTTTGTCACATTTTGTTTTACTGCTATGCAATATTCAAGTTTAATTTTCTTCTTTTTTTAAACTAGAATATTATATTTGAAAGAATAATTTAGATCTGTTTAATGCTTGAACTAGAAAAGATTTCTAATCTTGAGAAATTAGATAATGACAGACAGCATCCAAAATGAATTCAGTCGCTGTAAATATTGCTCTATTTTTAGCAATAAAAGTACTTAGAATGTTTTTAATGGTTAACCATTTGGCACAGTTTCTTAACTGTACATAATCTAGTTGGAACCAATCTTATTTATGTTATAGTTTGAACCTTCCAATAAATGAATATCTTGTTTGATTGATTAAAAAAATGCTGTTTTAAACAAAACATTCTTTTATTAGAACTGAGTAATAAAATGTACTAGAATGCACAGTAATTACAGTCTGTGTTTATATACAGGTATCTCTACAGCTGCTGTATGTGTCTATCCTAGTCGAGTGGCTGACTGTGTCAAAGCACTAAAGAAAGCAAGAGCCATGCATATACCAATTGCATCAGGTAAGTTATGATTTTTTATGAAAAAAAAGGAAAATGCCCAACAAAGCTGAAGTGCTCAAGATTTGAATCAAAACTGATTATGACGACAATAAAATGATTCTCTAATCCTGAAATGTAATTCTCCATAATGTTTTGTACCAAGACAAATGTATAACCAGGAATTGTCTGTTTTACAATCTTTTTCTTTTTATTCATATTGACCGTAGGTTCAGAAAGTGTTTTATGTTGACAGCATTTAGTAAAATAAATAAATAAAAAAAATAGATTTTGTTTATGTTAAGTTTACATTAAGTTTCCAATGAAAAGTAGGAAATATATTTTTAGGGAAAAATTCTTCTGTGAAATTGGTTTTTTCAAAACAAAAATATTTATCTGGCCCAAAAGAAAAATTAATCTTACAGTGAACGGTTGCAAACAGTAATCATTGCTATAAAAGATATTTGCACAACAGGAAAGATGCAGATGCTCCTTTTCTCATTAGGAACAAAAACTTATGTTAAAAATTTTTCAAGTATGCATATCAAATCTGAGGACTCTCCATAACAAACAGATAAATCCTTCCCCATATATATATATATATATATATATATATATATATATATATATACAATGACAAACAAACACTTAAAGAACTATAGGTGATATTTTATTTCATTGAAGTCGATAAAACACGGCTTCAAATCTTCCAACCTGTAAACCAAATGAAAATGGAAAAATTTGCTCTTGGTTTAAAAATTAAGAATAGTTATTTCATATAGAGAAAGTAGGGAAAAGAAAGATGTTAAGTTATCATTGTGTTTGAGGTGGGGGAAAATAAACTGTGTGTTGTCTCAGTTGTATTAGCACCCATGATAGCCTAAATTAACATCTGGATTGTAGACAAAAATCATTACATGAAATTGGCAATTGAGAATACATTTTAAAAAAGATTTTAAGTGTAAATTTGAAAATCTGTCTGGATTCTTCCTTGATTAAGATTTTGACATATACGTATTCAACTTACAAAACCTGTTATAATTTATATTAGAAATAGTGGTTGGCAAAGAACATTCAAAAAATATTCAGAACTTAGCTAAAGATTTCAGTTGAAATGTAAAAAAGAATTATTCAAAATAAAAAATATAAAACTATATATATAATTATTTACACACACACACACACATATATATATGAGTGTCTGTGTGTGTTTTTAAAATTATCCATGAGATTAATCATAAATAATTAATAAAAATACTATGATATACAGAAGTAAATATATATAAATAAAATCTATTTATGTAAAGAAACAATTAGATATAATATAAAAAGTTTATAAAATAAGTTTAACGGGATACAAAGAAATTTTAAAACAAATTATATAAACCTAGAGTAAATTTTTCCATTCTCATTTGGCTTACAGGTCTGAAGATTTGAAGCCTTGTTTTATCGACTTCAATGAAATAAATATCACCTGTGGTTTTTTAAGTGTTTGTTTGTCATTATATAATAATTTTTGCTCTGTCTTTTAACATAAAGCTCTCAACAGATCTATATCCTCTTGGAAATTCCATACAGATTACCAATAATTTTATTTATATATATATAATGGGGAAGTGTGGTGTAGTATATACTGGAGGACAGTGGAGTAATGAATTGTGGCTCAGATTGAGGAATCAGAGATCCAAGTTCAAATTCCAATCAAGTTCATTGCATTCACTTTAGTGCTAATACCCTTGGAATCCATCTCTTCTCGCCCCAGCTATGGGTAAATAGCAGGACAGACTGAGTTCTATAGCCATGGTTGGCTACCAGACTAGGAGAAGGACAACTCTGAATTCAAATCTGGAGTCAGGGCCCTTAAGACAGTCAGATGTCATTTTCAATTTTGTTCTGGCAACTCCTGTGACAGCACTGGCGCCATGCTGTATTGGCCTCTGCCTTTCCCTTGGACAACATCAGTGGTGTGGAGGGGAGACATGCAGCATGCACAACTGCTGATCTCTCTCAAAAAAGAAAGAAAGAACCCTTCTCAGGCTTGTACTCTGGAAAGGGTCTAACTCTTTGGGCTCAGATCCATAATCTCTTGAAACCAACAGATGACATACTATACTACACACACACACACATACTTATATATATATATATATATATATATATATATATATATGATGAATTTGAATTCTATAATGTAAATCATTTGAAGTGATTAAAAAGGTATAAACATGTAAATTAAAATTTTTCAAAATAAGATATCAGTGGTATTATTATTTTAATATTAGACTATTATTATTTTGATTAGTAGCTTTAGTTGCTTTTTATTATGAAGATGAGAAGTAAATACTAATTAATATTCATCATAATAGCAGATTATAGCATTGTCAGTTTGCAAATTTTCACAATAAGATGTAATTTCAAAATTGAACTCTTTGAATAGAATAATACAGAAAATACATGTGTGACTTGATGATTATAATCATTTAGGATATAATATCTATCAATGAATATATTTATTATTTATTTACATAATCTATTTATTTTGTAAGATATATCAGTTAATAAACAAAACATGTAAAGATTTGGTTAATGTCTTCCCAACCACTTTTTATTTATGCTACTCATATCCAATGTCTTCTGCTGAGGTATGGCAGGATACGTAACTGAATGTCTCTTCTTTGATTTTGTTGTTAGTAAAAGTTTGTAATTAGTAAGAAAAGAAAGTTGAAGAAGAATGATTGATCAGAGACACATTGGAAGAGGAATACAGTGTTCACTATTTACATCATTTACAATCTGACTACATTTCAGCCATTGTACTCTTCAGCCATCTTCAGGTGCATGTTGAGTCAGGTAACCTTCAAGAAATTTTGACATATACTCTTTATTTAATCAGTAGGAGGAGATTGTTCTCATCCTAATCTAGTCCTAGGATATTTTATCTTGGATAATTGTTCAGTTATTGTTAGTTCTGTTTTTACTAAGTTTAAGATTGAACTCACAATTATTATGACACCAAATTAACCAACACTTTAATCTATTGTCATGTGGGCAATTACTGTTTCTCTTGTTAAGTTTACTTAATTAAAATATTTTCACAGTGGTACAAAATTTTATTACAATAATAAAAAAGGTAACAAAAAATATATATTACTATAAATTGATAATACTGAAATATAATGATTAAAGACAGCTAAACTGATTTATTGATCCTCTCATATCAGAGCAAAAATTGAGGGCAAAAAATAATATGTACACAGAGACTAAAAAACGTACAACCCCAGACTAAAACAAAATATAACATTAAAGGCTAATTACCCTAATTACCCACCAACTACTCCTTCACTTTACAGAGGAATGGTTGTTATATTAAAAAAAAATATAACATTAAAGACTAAGCCCATCAACCACTTTTGTTTACAGAGAGATGGTTGGTAGGACTTAATGTATACTGTTCCAGAACCTTTAAGTGATAATTAGTATTAGCCTTACTCAACACTGAAAACATGGCCAGGCTATAAGATCAGGCATACTGCTGGGTTTTAATCAAATGTTCAGCTATCATTGAACTTGATACATTAAACACAATTATGTAAATTGTCAACTTTTGCCTTGTAAATATTGGTTTGATCATGTTGGTTAATCTGTGTCTCCAACATTTGACCTGTTCTAGCTACACAGTCAGTATTGCACTGACAACTGAATTTGTATATTACAGAACTAATATGATGGAAAAGGCAGAACATCCTTCTGGATCAGTTTCAACCAAGGTCAGGCACCAGAAACAATATGTGGATTGGCAGAAAGAAACTTACATCAACTGAAATTTGCTTAGCAAATCTCATTGTCGTCACCAATCCATAGTAATTTTTACTTTATTAAAAACGATTGCTGCATGCACTATATAAGGGCTTGGATTTCTTCTAATAAAATAAAATGCTAGCGTTTAGTTACTGTTCAGGTTGATTAACCTAAGAGTTTTTATTGTCACAGTGGCTACGGGCTTCCCTGCTGGTCAGAGTCCTTTGAAGACTCGTCTGGAAGAAATTCGTTGTGCAGTGGCAGATGGGGCTACAGAAATTGACATTGTCATCAATCGTCAATTTGCTCTTTCTGGAAACTGGGAAGGTAGGTAACTCTTTCTTGTCAGCACTTTGTGATTTGGATTAATATATGAATTTAGAGAATTTGAACAATTCACATGTATTGTAGGAAATTGAAAATATCCAAAGGAAGCTAGCCTGAAATTTTTACAATACTGTTAAATTTTTATTGCTTTATATATTATTATACTGGATACTTTGAGAGCATCTCTCTGCGCCTTCTTGGTCTCACTTTTTTCCACTGACCTGAGGCGGAACAACTACATTGAATCAATAGCTACATCTACCGCAAGGAAAGTTGGTTCTCTGTGTTGCACCAGAAGGTTTTCTCATCTGAGTCCATCCTTCAAATCTAAAAATCTACTATTCGTCCTTGCATTGAATACTGTTGCCATATCTGTTCTGGTGCCCCTGCTGTTCATCTCAAAGTTCTCGACAAAATCCAGAGATGGATATGCAATGTGATATGTCCTGACCTGGCATCTCGACTCCAGACACTTTCCCACAGATGTGATGTGACTTCTCTCTGTCTTTTCTACAAATATTTTCATGGCAACTGCTCTGATGAACTATTTTCACTGGTGCTCCAACTGCATGAATTTAAGCGTGCTACTAGGCATCTCAGTCCCACCCTTTTACTGTTGAAACAATTAAATGTAACTGCTTTTTCTACTCCAACAGCTTCTCTTGCACTTCCCGATAGTGGAACACCCATCCTCTGACTTGCTTCCCTGATAATTATAATCTTCAAAAATTTAAATGTAATGTCAATCGACATCTCCTGATACCTTGATCTTGATTCCCATCCTTCTCTTTATCCTTTCCTCAAACACTCCTCTTTACTCTTACTTTCACTCTCTGTAACCCCTCCCTCTTTACTCTTACTTTCACTCTCTGTAACCCTTCCCTCTTTATTCTTACTTTCACTCTCTGTAACCCTTCCCTCTTTACTCTTACTTTCACTCTCTGTAACCCTTCCCTCTTTATTCTTACTTTCACTCTCTGTAACCCTTCCCTCTTTATTCTTACTTTCACTCTCTGTAACCCCTCCCTCTTTACTCTTATTTTCACTCTCTGTAACCCCTTGTGTGCTAGTGGCGCTCCTAACTTGCTTGGGGTGAAATACTTGAAAAAAAAAAGATGGATTTTTATTTATTAAGCAGTGTGTATTACATCTATGAATACATCTATTTATTACAATAACATTTGAAGTAATAAAAAGGTTAGATTAAAAGTAAATACATCAATTCTTTAGATATTATTATTTATTAAATATTGCATTCATCATATTTTCTGCATGTGTAATAAAGGATTTTTATTGATACAATTAAATCAGTTGACACATGTAAGAAAGAATTCTGCTTTTTAAATCATTAAAAGTAAAAATATATAAAGAAATCTAACAAAACCCAAGAATTAAAAACAGTGTTTTAACAACCTGATCCCACTTATTTGTTAATAAGATATTCCATTCTTGTAATAACAAGAGTCATGTTTGCTTATTGACATTCAGCAATGCCTCTTGTTATCATAACAACAGAATATTCCATTACTGATTAAGGGAAATCAGGTTGCATAAGTGATAAATATATAAACTTACATTATAGAATAGATTATTTACATAGGCCTAGAATGGCTGGCTACTGGAAGTTCAATCTGTCCTTACTGGACAGGCAGGACTTCCGGGAGCAGCTGACTAAATTAGTGCAGGGAGCTAGTGGGGGCGGCATGGGAATAGGTGGTGGGACAGACTTAATGTAGAATTAGGTCCTTCACCACTGATTTCAGCAAACGGCTCCGCCCTAGATAGAGCTGATAAGGTGAGGACGCTTAAAGCTAGTCATGCCTGGGCGGTGGCTGGGGGGGATCCCCTAGAGATAGTCCCACGTAGCTAAGGAGGCTCTGCAGCGTTTGAATAGCTTAAGGCCATGGGCCAGGTAATTAGGCATAGGTTAAACAAGATGTCTTCCTCCCGTGAATATGGGGCGAGAGCTGCGAGGGAAGAGGTCCGCCGAGGTGGCGATCGTTATATTCGTGAAGTCAAAACCCCGAAGGGCGCACCCTTCGGCCACTGGACGACATGTGCGAGGCGTTTAGCGGCATTTTCGAGAGCCGTTTACCAGGAGCCTGGTCTTCGTGAGGATGAAGTTTACGCAGCTATTTGGCTGACTTTTCCTCGGCTTTACGCCGACTGAAGCGGACTAGCTACGAGGGGAGAGGTTACCGAGCGCAGGTCTACGTGACTTTGAAGAAGGTCGGCAGAGGCCGTCGCCCGTCTGGATGGTCTGCCATATGAAGTGTACTTGAGGCTGTCGCACATCTTTGTCCCGATTTTGACGGTCGTCTTCAACAACTGGTTCGGCAGGGGTCTCTCCCCGACCGGTTCTCCAGGGGTGTGATCACGCTGTTGAAAAAAAGGGCAAGGGTGTTGGGGGAAGCTAGACGACTACAGGCCCATAACTCTACTAAACACAGAGTTAAAGATTATGGCCAAGATCCTGCAGGAGCGCTTGCAGTCAGTTGCGAGTCTCTGTTGGGTCCCGAGCAGACCTGTTCTGTGAGGGGTCGAACAATTCAGAGCAACCGCATTTGATCCGCACGATCATAGAGGGTGTAAAAGACGCGGTGTGCCGCGCTGATCAATTTGGATCAGTCCAAGGCATTTGATAGAGTTGACCATCGCCACCTTGCTACTGTCCTGCAGGCCGCGGATTCGCACCCGACTTCTGCCGCTGGATTAGCCTCCTGTATCGCTCCCCCAGTGCTGTGGTACAGGTGAACGGAAAGCTGTCAGGCGCTTTTGCGCTGTCTAGGTCGGTCCGTCAGGGTTGCCCGCTGTCGCCCCTACTTTACGCTTTGGCGTTGGAGCCTCTCCTTCGCCGGCTGAGGGACGGGCGTGCAGGCCGACCCTATGCAGAATCGCCGTTCCTGGCGGGGATCGAGCCAGGGTTTCAGCGTCGCCCGATGGCGTATTGCTTTTCGTGTTGTCCCTGCGAGGCATCAGAGCAGTACAGAAGGCACTTGATCGGTACGAAAAGGTGACAGGGGCCAAGATTAACGCGACAAGTCGTCCGGCTTGCGGTTAGGCGCCTGGAAGGGGGTCGATCTTCCAGGGCCCTTCGGTTGGGACGGACGGTCCTGTCCGCATTCTCGGAGTGGGTTTGGACCCGACCTCCAGCTGGAGAAGAATTGGTCTGAAGTACGAGCAAAGGTCTACGCCACCCGGTCAGACTTGGCGTCGACGGAGGTTGTCCGTGAAGGCAGGGGCGGAGGTGTGTGCTACATACATTTTCCCTCTTGTCCTTTATCGATTGTCCGTGCTTCTTCTCTCTGTGACCCACAGGACACCGCTGAGCGCCGCTAACCTCCATTCTATGGAGGAGACACTTGTGAATCGGGTCGACAGAGAAGTCTGTGCACAACGTCCGTGTCATGGGGGCTGGGAATGCCACTTGCTGAGCCACAAACGTGCCTCGAGGTTGGCTTTTCACGCGGCGCTTTGACAGGTGGAGATCCGATTATTGAGGTGATTGTGAGGGCCGCCTTCCTCGCCTTTTTACGATCAGTCCCCAAGCTCATGGGTAGATCGCCGTCAAAACCCCAGGTTCAATCGGTTTTCTTTCACGAGTGTCGGTCGGCCTTGTTGGCTGTCCCTTGGTCCAGTGACCTTTCGCCTAGAAAGGACTTCTATCGTTTGCTAGTGGAGTGGGTCGCGAAGATCCCTCGTGAGGATCTCGACATGTCGGATGATGAGTTTCGCTCTCACTGGTCTTAGCGCCAGCCCGGCGGATTACCTCAGTAACCCTGAGTTTTCGCCACCTGGCGACTGGCTCGAATCGGCTGCCTCTCAATCCACATGGACTTCATATGGGGCTTGGCGGACTTGCCAGACTGCGATTGGTGTGGCCTTGGTCTAGAGGAACGGCTTCAAGACCTTCTTCCATTGCCCCCCCGTGTCCGCCCCTTTATGGGACCATGTCGGCGAGCTGACGGCGTCTCGCTCCCGAGCTTGTGCCCATGGATCGTGCATACTGGCGATGTGACAATGTGTCGCCCCGTATTCGGGGTGAAAGCGGATGGTGTTCTCATGCTGCTAGCCACGGCCCGAATGGTGATATGGACGCAGGGAGGAAGTCTTGCGGGGTAACCGCTTTCTCATCAGGATCTGATCCGATTCTTTGAGCATCAGCTCAAGACGAAGATTAGAACTGATAAACGCTTGCATTCGACAGTCTTCAGCGAAAGGTGGGTGACTGAGGCGAGCTTGGTTCGTGTGAACGGGCTAGCCTTTGATTTTCTGTTTTAGGTCAAGCCTACGTTACATCGGGGTGGCTTCCTGTGGTGCCCTCCCTTGGTTAGGTTAGACAAGCCTTGGTGTACCTAGTTAATGCGAGTAAGTGTTGTTCCGGCCTGCCCCGCCCACATCTTTTAGTTATTATGATCCAGCCTGAGATTCCCAACCTCCCAGTTTGTTTTTGATCCCCACTTTCTATCTCGACTGGGTCAGCTTTATACTTCCACATGCCCGTATGATTTTTTTTTTATCACCTTTCCCACTCCCTTAGCCCAGAGAGAGCTGCTTGATTTTGTTCCAATGGGCAGAATACAGTGGTCTCCCTGCATTTTTTGAGGGTTGGAAGGGCCCTACTAACATCAGTTAACGTTTTATTTTCATTTATGTTAATATTTTAGTTTGTTATTGGGTTCATCCCACCCCCATCATTTTTTTCATCTTAGAATTTTGTACATATGTGTTAGGATCATTATGACATGGGGCGCGTTTTGTAGGTCTCCCTAGAGTGGATGTGGTATTATGGTGCAAGGAGGATTGATTGATGACGGACGAGTTCTTATGGTGAATGAGTAAATTGTAATGTCTGAATGGGTCGTGAATCAAATTAGCTAGGTATAAGATAGTTAGTGAAGACCAGCCCTACCCCCCCTTTTCGGCCTTGTGCCACAATTTTGTATTTTTTACAAAATAAATCCCGATTATTTACAACCTTTTTGCCTATTAGTTCTAATATTTCCTCTTTTCCGTCAGGATTGTCTTATTTCTGGTCTTCCACAAAATGGTCAGATAAGGTTAATCAAAAAATATCAGTTTCAATCAAAAGAAATCTATTTTCAAGTTCATGAATTGAGCTCATGAAAACAATCTTCAATTAAACTCAAAATGATTTTAAAGGAATTGTTTTTTTAAATTATTAAATTTTCCTGAGCAACTTTATATACATGTGAATAAAACAAAATCATTTGAATTTTGTTTTTATTTTAGAAAAATGTTAAGGTCACCAAATAAAAATATCTGATGTCTGAATCTTTTGACTATGCAACCTTTATTCAAATTCAACAGATATGGATTCTACATAATATGACAACTTAAAGGAACCATCCAGAATTGTGTTGTCTCTTTTTGCCATTTCCATTTACTCAACCCATTATTGAATGCTGTTAAAAACATCTATTAGTATTCATAATTTCAAATCTCTATAGAGTGAGTAGCCATGGTTAAGTGTAAAATAAATGACAGAATTGTCCAACGAACAGAATTGACAAAGTTTGCAATAACAAGAAAAAGAAAAGAACAGGATTAAAACTAAAGCAAGCAAATGATATATGTAAGGCAATTTAACAGTAATAAGGCAAAAAGTTCACAAACTAAGAATTGGGGTTGACACACAAGAGCAAATTCAGATAAGCAAACATAGCATTCTGACTTTAAGACAAGACAGACCAGGACTGAGTCATATGAAACCGAGAATTGGCCTGTTTTATTGGCCAAGAAGAAATCCCAGCATGTATTTGTGTGCTTCTGCCTATAATTTGGGGAAGGGAAAGTGTTTTGTTTTCATGCAAATAGTATTAATTCATATTGTAAATAATTATTGGGATTTTTGGATTGTTGTTTTTATTCCCCTCCCCCCACAGACTTTGAAATGTACATATGGGGACTAGTTAGGATTTCATAAAGACATTGAGGTATTATGGTGGATGTAGTAAGAAAGGTAGGAGATAATGTGTTGTTTTGGTGATAGGACTATTGTTGCTATGTTTGGGTCAGTGTTTGTGACTAGGTAAGTTTAGAATTAAGACAGAAGAAGACTGTCCTTTTCCCCACCCCCTCTTTTCGGCCCTGTGCCACATTTTGTACTATTGTACAAATAAATATTATTCCTAGCAGGATTGAAACCAACTTCTACTTTTATCTTTCACCACAGATTTACTTTTATTTTTTTTTTTACTAACATGATACCAATTACGATACAACTTACACTAAATAAATACTGTTTCCTATGATTTTTAATTTTGTTACATTCTGTGTAAATTGGTATATGGATAAATACCGATCTGGGATCACAATTGTTATGATTTTCATTGTGGGTATGATCTGCTAGTGCTGCCCTTACAAGATTTCACTCTTGGTAAATGTCTATATTGCTTGATTTTTCAATCAGTCTATCATTTATGTTTGGATGTGCAGGTAGTGTAATAGTGACTCAGAATGAGAAATCAGAAAGTCAAATTTTAATTCCTGTTGGGTTTGTTATATTCACTTACATGCAAATACCCTTGGGAAATGTATAAATCCATTTCTTTGTATCTGGAAAAATAAATGTTGTTCTAAAAAAATTATTAATACCATATTCACTTGCAAAAAAAAACAATTGTCCTTACAACCCAAAAATGTTTGAATTTAAATAACCCACAAAGTGTTGATAATCCATAAAAAACAAATCAATTGATAACTTATATAGACAGATGCATGCATCTTGAAGAAATAACGTAGTTCTTATTTGGTTGTTTTTCTTGAAAATCACCTGCATCATCTTCCTGCTCTTAAAAAAAAATCGATTTATTTGTATGACTATTAAATTGTTTTGAAATATTTTCCTTTTTTAAATTTTATTTTATTTGTCTATTTTAGGTGTCTATGACGAAGTGAAACAAATGAGGGAAGCTTGTGGTGATGCTCACCTGAAAGCCATTCTGGCTGTTGGGGAACTAGGATCTATGGTCAATGTGTACAAGGCTTCATTAATCTGTATGATGGCAGGTAAAGTAATTGACAACATTGTTTCTTCAATTCATTGCCTTTGTATTTTTTAATAGTGAAGGAGGAAGAAATAGAATAAACAACCCTAGTAGAATTAGTTGAAACATCAGTTCTCATATGATCCCCAAAGTTAAGTAATGTTGAATCTGGTCAGTCCCTAGATGGGGGACTGCTTGGGAATACCAGGTGCTGTAAGATTGGATGTGCAAATGGTGTAAGGAATAATGACTTGGAATAATAGTTGGATTTGTCATATTCACTTACACACAAATACCCTTGGGAAAGGTATGAATCCACCTCTACTCCCCCTAACTATAGGTTAATTAATTAGTAGGAATTTGTATGAATAAATTCTTATTATCTCCAAAAACTTTTATAATCTAAAAAATGTTTTCTAGCTTTAAAATAACCTGGAAAAGGTTGATAAGCTGTAAAAATCTGATCAGTCAACCATTTTTTTTAATCATTTCACACCAAGCAAGGCGATAATACTACTAAGATGCAAAGGGTTACTGAGAGTGAAAGAGAATGAGAAAACTTTAGGAGAAGGAGCTGGAAACCCAATCCTGAACAGGAAACAAGGGATAAACCTCTACTCCTGTTCAAAAGACTTGCGGAGGAGTAGTGACCCTATCTACTCCTATTGTTTTAAGAGTATCATGCAAGTGAACAGAGTTCTCATTTGTTTTCCAACTTGAAGTTTATATTCAAGTAGCAACTGAAAATTATTATTAATTTAAACATATATATTATTGAAATTAATTTTATATTTGTAAAGATTTTTTTTTCTTTTTTGTCTTATGTTGCTATTTTTGTTAATGTTGACTCCTAGGGTCAGATTTCATCAAAACTTCCACCGGCAAAGAAGGAGTGAATGCTACTCTACCTGTTGGTCTGATCATGTGTAGAGCCATACGAGATTATTATGAAAGAACCAAGTATAAGGTTAGTAAAGTTTATAAACTTAAAGCTCAGTGGGTGTTTTTAACAATGTACCATGTAAATCCAAATTTATAGAGAAGAAAAAAAAATGTGCAAGTTGATAAAGCCACTAAGATGTAAGGGTAACTGAAAATGAAAGGCAATAGAGTAAGGGAAACTGAGAAAATGTTACTGAAGATAAAGGACAATAAAAAGATTGAAGAAGATAGAAAATGATTGATGACGTATTTAAATTTTTGAAGATCAAAACTCGAGGAGGGTTCAATAAGTGAGAAATGCGAGAAAAGCAATAGAACTTATGGTTACACTTAGCAATTTCAACAGTCAAATGATTAGACAAAGCTGCCAATCTAGTACTGTACTTAAATTGGTGAAGTCGAGGTACTAAAGAGGAAAGCTCATTAGAACAATCACCATGAAAAAATTTATAGAAATGGCACAGGGAAGCTACATTATGGCAATGGGAAAGTAACTGAATCTGAAATACCAGGTTAATTGTGAGATCATTGCAGATTCTTCTTTGGATTTTGTCCAGAATCTCAAGATATGTAGCAGATGCACCAGACCAGATTGAGCAGTATATTCAATACACCTTACATTTTGGCTAGAAATAGTCATAGAAATCTGAAGTAGGAATTAGTATTTTTTTTATGTTGTTTCTTAAATAAAGATGAAAATTTTTGCCAAATATAATTTTCTGTTGGATCTTTATTTTTCAGTTTTGAAAAGCCAGAGTTATTTAAATTTCCATAAAAAATTTTATATTCTTTCTCTGTTTATATATAGTAAGCAGCAGTTAGAAATTTAAAAATTTTCTTTGGTCTTGAATTTTTTGTTATTATTGGTATAGCATTCCAAATGCCATGGTCTCGGATAATGGTACACAATTCACTGCTTACGAATTTAAAGAATTTTGTAAAATGTTCTTAATTGAACATATTACTACCCCACCGTATCACCAAAGGTCAAATGGGCAAGCTGTACGGTTTGTGGGTACTTTTAAGAGAGCTTTAAAAAAAAAACAAGTAATGAAAAAGTGAATGAAGAAGCACTTCCCAGTACACCGACAGACTTGTCACCAGCAGAATTGATGTTTGCAAGAAAATTAAATCAGTGTTTGACAAGTTGTTACCAGGTCAAAAAAAATTTCTCAAAATTGACAAAAAAAGTGTTTTTAAGAGTATATAAAAATGGAAAAGAAATGTGGAAAGATGGTGTAATAAGGTCACGATTTGGAAAAATGATATATATGGTAAAAGGAAAAAAATGAGGACACAAAAGTCATTGGAATCAGTTTAAGAAAAGGTTTAATGAAGAAAGGCCTGCAAGAAATGAAGAACGTATGCAAGTACTGTTGACCCAAAACAAAAGAAATACAAAGTTCAGTATGTAGCAAACTCTCCAGGATGAGGAAGGAGGGGTGAATAGTAAGAAATAAAATAAAATATTTACTAGTGAAAAAAAAATCTCTAAAGGGGGAAATATGGAGTAAATAAGCACAAATAAACTTGGCACGACACCTTCAATAAAGAACTCAAACTGAGGCAAGGAAATCCATTGGAGTCAATCAAGGAGAATTTCTAGTGATATCATGGCAAGTAGCTTAAGTGAGACATAACATTATAACAGCCAGGAGTGAGTTATAATGTTTTATATAACATTAGTGGTCATCTTGGTCTTTGATTTTCTTTTATTTTTTGGTCACACATTGGAATTAATGAAATACTCTTCACAAGACATATAAATATATATATATATATATATATATATATATATATAGCATATATATAGCATATATTTTGGCAGCATGTTTTCATTAAGACTTTTCTCATTAAATAATTTAGACAAGTTTTGTCTACTTATTTTTAATAAGATCCTCTCATAATTATGGACAAGTATCCTTATTAAAAGAAAAAAGAAAATTACCATGTTGATGCATATTCATTTTGTTCTGAGTACTTTCAACATTAGCACAATGTCATCATCAGGGTCTTGTTTTTTTTTCTACAACAAAAAATTATCTTATATATTTAAAAATTATAACATTATAAGATCACTACAAATTATAAGATCACTACAAAAATAGCCATTTTGTTTCAAGAAAAGACAACAGAAGTGTTGAAACAAAATGACTATTACTACATACTACTTATGTTATAATTTTTAAATAAATATTATTCGCTCAAATTTGTATTGAGTACTTTTGCTTACTGGAATTTTATTCCATTTATACCAACCTTGTATTCATATATATATATATATATATATATATATATATATATATATATATATGAAATCCAATTCCGACATTCGTAACATATTAGCACATCTCACCTGATGAAATGTGTTAATATACATCAAAACATGATTGCATTCATGTAGCATTTTTAACATGTTTTTGCTGTAATATTCTAAAATAAAGTGTGTGTGTGTATATATATATATATATATATATATATATATATATATATATATTTTTTCTTACCAAATTCCTCTTAAAATAGCATGAATTGGATCAAGGATTCATGATGCTTATATATATTTTATTTATTGCTCTTATCTCTTATTCTAAAAGTTGTTTTTCTATTTTAATATTGTTATAGGTTGGCTTCAAGGCTGCTGGGGGAATCCGTTCTGCTAAGGATGCTTGCACTTGGTTGTCTCTGATGAAAGAAGAGCTAGGAGACGAATGGACAAAACCTGCTCTCTTCCGTTTGGGAGCCAGCTCTCTTTTGGGAGACATTGAGCGACAAATCTTCCATCATGTCACTGGACATTATGCTTCTGGGCAAGAGCTGCCTTTGGCTTAAACTTGTCTTTCTCTCTTTTCTAAATTCCCTCTCTCTAGCTTGAGTTCACTTCTCCCTCACTCTCTCTCTCTCTCTCTGTTTTTCTCTCACCTATCTATTATTCTGTTCTTCTCTTCATTACTTTATTTTTTAGAACATTCCTTCAGTTTTTCCTGTTTTCATTCAATTTTATTTGAAGAATAACTTTATAGCAGTCTTTTTGATTTTGGTCAAATTCATTTCCTTTGTAAGTACACAATATCTTTAGATGTGTAATTTGTGTTATATCTGAAGAAGACATGAAATTCATATAGATAATCATCACGAAAGAATAGAACAAAACTTGATTGGCAACTATGATGGTGGTGATGATTATTATTATTATAATATTACCACTGGTAGCAGGATAATAATGCCTTTCTAGAGTGAAAAACTCTTTTGTACTGAACAAATTAGCTAAAGAGAGTGACAACTAGTTACAATGAACTATAATCACTGAATACTAAAGTATGGAAAAGTGGGAAATTATTCATGACTTGGCTTAGTCAAGTAAATATCTTTACAAAGATATTTCCAATTAAATGAACTGAGTTAGCTGAAGTCTTGCATCATATTAGAAAGATCTGTGATATGTTTTGCTATTAAATATATATATTTTTTAAACTTTCTTCATCCCACAATGCCTATTTTCTTTGGTTCAGTTGATTGGGGAATTTCAAAATCTATGCATTTCTAAACATGTATTATCCCTAAAGTTTCACTTTTAAAAAAAACTGACCTTGTTTTTTGTCTATAAAATAAGACTCTATTTGTGAATTGTGTAAATCGGCATTTCTTAGTTGATCATTTTATCTGACTCAAGTTCATGAAAATGAAGAGAATATCAATTTCTGTTTTTCTTCTTGCATTGATTAATTCTAACAGGTACATTTAAGAAGACTTCAATTAATCAACCTAATTTTTTTAAAACTTTTCTTTCTTTGAAAGATAAATATTAACCAAGAGACCTCTATATTTTAAGAGAGAAATGAAAAGAAATTTCATAGAAAATATTTTCATATGATTTTATAAATGATTAAAACAATAATTCCTGTTTTGTTTTTTGACAATTCTATAAATATTTTTGGAAAAAAAAAATGATTCTATTATGACAGAATTTCTACAAACTTGAACCTTCATGCCCACAAAAAAAATTATAATTACCTTCACTCCTTGGCAATGTTTATTGTTTTCCAAAGTGATGTAAATGATAAATATTGCATTAGTTTTAATTGTATTAGTTTTTAGAATGTTGTAAATATAAAATTATTCTTGTAAATAAACAATATAATAGTGTTTAATATCTTTGTTGTGAATACTCAAGAACAAAAAAATTGTATAAATTCACTTTCATCATATGTTTAGGTTTTATTACAATTCTAATCATCACTTTAAATGGAATAAACCTTGCTGAGGATTGATGGTAATTAAAACAATACTGGTGAAAATTAAAAAAATATCCTTTTGACACTCCATTTTTTGGAGGGACACGAAGTTCCAAGTTTGCTGAGAAATCATTATTAATGCGTTGCTATCCAAACAGTGACAAACACCTGAAGAAGACCAGAGGGTACAACAACTGAAACATGAGATGAGGATAATAGTCCACATATAAATAATGAGTTTAACAACCATATATTATATGCCTTACTATTTGGATTAACATTCTTATCTTGAGCTCTAGATTTTCTCTTGTCTTTCTAGAGTTCAAAATATTTAAATATTATTATTCTGTATCTGTCTATATTTCTGAGATGAGGTATTATGTACACTATTTACATTGTTCGGACTATCATCCTCATTTTTGTTGCTATATTTGTGACAACATTTTGGCTGTTGTACACTCCAGGCTTCTTCAGGTGGTTGGAATGTCGAACTGAACCCTTTATTTCGCTTACTGGGGTAGACTGTTCTAGTTCCACGTGCCATGTCTAATGGATGTCAGTTATCAGTTATCTCCTGTTAATTCCTCTCTCTAAGTTCTCCGCTGCCTTAACCAGGTATTGAACTCACAACTCTTTGGTTCCTGTCACTGGATCTAACTAATGCCTTTATCCACTGTGCCATGTGTCATTCTATTATTGAAAATAAGTAATTTATTATATTTGATGACACATAAGAACCTCTTCATTTACATTTAATACTACAATAAAAGATAAAAGTACCAATTGTCTTCAGTGGTAAACATTTGTCTACTAGGTACCTGAATTTCATATATAAAACCTAGTGGATATTTTTAGTATAAATATTTGGAGAGAAAGTCATGGAGTTTTATATAAATTCTAAATATGAAAACTCTAAGAAACAGTTCTTCTGCATTCTACTGAAATATTAAGAAGAATTTCAGATAATAAAATTTTTATGCTTACATTAAAAGATTTAGTTCAAATATTTCTCTTCAAATATGACCATTTGCTACATGGATTTTTACACAAAAGTTCAAGGAAATTCTACATGGAAATAAAATATTTACTTATCCTAGTTTCCACCATCTCCTTTGAATTAGTCACCTTGGTTAGGTATATAATTGTATGTGTGTTAGTATAATTTAAAATCCAACAGTTATTAACAACTTTAATACAGAAAAAAACAAATTTTGTTCTTTCATTCTGACCAGAAGATGCCAACTTAGCAAACAGGCATTAACAGGTTTAATAAAAAAAAAAAACACACAGTTTTGTTTTTCATTCCAAGTGGAAGACACCAGCCTAACACACAGGCAAAACATACTGTCATTAAAAAAACTTCTTCCATTTTGTCTCATTTATTCACATACAGTTGTATATAACAATTATTGAATGTGTATTCAATGTGATGTGAAAGAATAACTGTTCTAAATATATATAGGCTGAAGTAAGCAATATGATATTAGATAAGATCGGTCTCATACATGGTGTTCTACACTACAGACCTACTCATAGTGCAACTGATGGCCAGAACAGAAAGCTTATTTCAGAAGCTTCTTGTTCTACTGGGAGTGATGCGTTTTAGTTTTGGTTTGAGTTTGTGATAATTTGCTGCTGTAGTCAGCTGAAGAAATCTTTGCTTTTACACTTGAAAAAAGCAGCTTATTTAACTGAAGTTTGTAAAAGATTTATTTTATTTTCATCAGATTAGCAATATTATGTTTATTACAAAAAATCTTTTTGTATGAGATTCACTAAAACAATGTAATTTAGGAATCTTGGTCTTATCACTTGGAAGTTAATTTAATATTCTTCTTTGAAATTTTTATTTATAAGGAGCAAATACATTAATGACAAAATCTGGTCGACCATTTCTTTTTCTTTTTTGGTGAAATAATCTTTTTTAAAAGAAGGAAAAGAAACAGGGAGAAAGTATGAGGAGAAGAAAATGATGAAAAGAGAAATAAGCACAACATTTGACACAAAGAAAAAACCAGCACCAATAAAAAGTGCATAAATTATTTTTTAACTTAATAGAAAAATTAATGAAAATGAGAAAATCGGTAGTCAGTTGCTGCTGAAACCTCTTGACAAAAGGCCCAAACATTTACAAAAAAGTTCATCTATGAAACTGGAGTTAAGGTGCTGAATTAGCATCAGTCACCTAAGTAACAAATTTTATATTTGTATTAATCCTATCTATCTATCTATCTATCTATCTATGTTATAAATTTGGGTATATAACCCCAACAGTGTTATAAAATAATGACATATGGAAAAAAGTTCATGAAAGTATGTTTCAAAAAAAGATCCAACTAAGCATTTTGCCTATTTGGCTTCATCAGATCAAAAATGAAAAATGTTTCATGTATGTTTAAAATAATGAAATCTTATATTTTTCCCAAGCTGGTGTTTCTCGTAACTAAAAAAGAGAAAGAAAATAAGTGACTTTTAAAAGTCATTATAGACATTATGTCTGCTAATTTTTAACAAAATCCGTTGATTTAAAAGCATAATGAAAAAATTACGGTAATAGATAACAACACACAACTTTATATAAGTACTTAGAAGGAAATTACTGGAAAGTATTTTTTAAAATAATTTTTATTTTCCCCAAGTACTTTCAATCTCATCTGGGACCATTTTCAGGGGGTTAGATTTTCTCTGGATGCATATATATATAGTTCCTTACCTTGCGTGGAAAAAAAAAAAAACTGAATTTGAATTTGATCCTGGAATGATGCAAAACACAGTGAAATGAACAGCAAGAAAAAATACTTTGAATTTACATAACCACATATACATATCCAGAGACAATTTAACCTCATGAAGATGGTCTCAGATGAGATTGAAAGTACTTTTGAAAATAAAAAATTATTTGAAAGAAAATTTTGGTATTTTTCTTAATCAATTTTCTACAGCCACCAAGAAACTAATTCATGGACTCAAAATGATTAAAACTAAAATAAATAGACATAATACATCTAAATTACCTAACCAAACCTGTTTGAATACATACATACATATATATATATATATATATATATATATATATATATAAGTGGGCAGAACCGAGTGGTGGCAATCTGTGTCATGCTTGAAACAGACTGTTGCCACTTGGTGTTGAGCTGAGTGTCCACTTTTATATTTACATACACTCTATCCCAGATATTGAGTACTTTTACACATAAATATAGCATACCTTAAAACTATATCTTTATCATATATATATATATATATATGTTCAAAGTTCAACTTAAAGCTTTGTGGTTCTACCAACTCATCAGGCACAAATTATTATTTTTGGTTGCTAATATCTAGTTATTTGGTTTATATCCACATATATATATGTAAGGTGTATTTAGGCAGCAAAAATTCATACAAATAAGTTTTACTAAATAATACTGACATCTGTCTATTTAACTTTTTATATAATTTTCCAACTGAGCTATTTTCCATTAGGATAAAAAATTTTAAACTGTTCAAAGTTAATTTTTATACATTTGAGTGCTTTTGTCTGTCACTACACTCATTACCAAGAATTGCAAGTGATCACATATATTAAACATACTAATCACTCACAATTCTAACTGTAATGACTGCCAAAAGTAATCAAATATATAAAAATTAACTTTTTGTCCTTTTATAAGAGACTGTTGTAGTATATACTGCACCCCAGATCATGTCAGGATATACTTTGCACTTTGTGTACTTCAAAGAAACCAGGTGCAGGATTGACCTGATAGATGACTTGGCTACCAAATGCATATGCATGTGATCAGCCCCAGTTGTACTGATATGTGGGAAAACCATTTGACAAGGAAATATATAAATACTAACCTGAGAAACAAAAAGGGCAGTATCTCAGACATCACACCTGAGAATGTAAGGTCCATGTTTAAATGAGTTCACACACTAACTGGTAGTAATAAATGAATTCTGGTGTTTAATTATCTTTTTTTAATCATTTTACTCCAAGTAAGGTGATAAAGCCACTAAGACACAAGAGGTTACTGAATGTGAAAGAATCTGAGAAAAACTTTAAGGAGAGAGTACAACAAAAGAACAGAAACTGAAAAGATGGAAGATGACAATTGACATTGCATTTGAATTTTTGAAGATCAAAGTTGACTGAAATGCAAGAAGCTGGGAGAAAGTTCCACAAGCAAGAAGTGTGAGAGAAGAAACTGCTAACATAGAACTTATGGTGCAATGTTAAGATGCAATGTTATGTATAAGAAATTAAGTTTTGTGTTTTTATTTATAATGTATGACAATATCATTACACTGATGAAAAGTTCTTGGCCTGAGCCTCATGAAGAAGGTATTCTAAAAAAAATTCTGATGTTTGGTCAGATTTTGGGAAGTAGCTTAGGCTGGGAACTTTCAGTGCTCTATCATATTAGTTTTAGGTTCTCAAATATGAGATAAAATCTCACATGTTTAGTAAAGACATTTGAATGAGATAAACTTTATAAAATACATATGAGACGTGTGTTATGATATAGAAGCTGGACAAAACTGGAAAAATGAGATAAAGTGGAAAAGTTTTTTAATGACAATGCAATTCACCTTTGTGTGCTAGGTAAGTATCTTCAGGTCAGAATGAAAGATAAAACTGTGTGTTTTTTATATTAAAACTACTAATGTCTGCTTGCTAGTTTAGCATCTTGTGGTTGGAATGAAAGAATAAATTTGCATGTTGTTTTTTATTAAAGCCATTAATTTCTGCTGGATTTAAAATTTTATCCCATTCTGCGTAGAGCTGTATTATTCTTGCTATTAGCTTGTATAACAACAAATAAAAATATAAGAATAACAGGGACCTACTCAAAATGGGATAAAATTTCAAATCCAACAGAAATTAACAGCTTTAATAATAAAAACAAAAACATGCAATTTCTTTCATTCCAACCAGAAGATGCAGACCTAAAAAAAGGCGTTAACAGCTTTAATACAAAACTGTTAATGCTTTTCTTTTATCTTTCATTTTGACCTGAAAACACCTACCTAATGTATGAAAGTGAAATGTGTCATCATTAAAAATATATGAGACAAATATCTCAAATTTAGAAAATTCATCTTTCTTCTTTATTTCTTTGTTTTATGTTTTTTGTTTTTTTCTTTCCCTTTTTTTTTCTTCAGCAGCAGCAGTAGTAACAGCAGTCTTTATCAGCTCTTTTCTTGCCTGAATGCAGTTGAATTCTTTCTGACTTTACAGATAAAATTTCCCCTTTATATAGCAAACATTTGCTTTCAAACTTAATCAATTAATTACTTGGGAGACATATACGTTTTAATCCCAATTGGTTTAAAACCTCAAATTTAACTATCCAAACAAACCATATACCTATTTGCAAACTTTAAATTTGGCAGGTCTTGACAACATCAACTATCTTTTGTAAAATTTTGCTAATACATTTCTATTCATGTTTCTTTCATAAACCAACTGACTTAATTTTGGTATTTTTTTAACTTCAAAATGGAACTTCAAATTTGCAATTTTTATTCATGTTTTATTTTTTTTTTTTTCAATGAACTGACTAGCTTCATCCTGGCAGTTACTTTTCCAAAAAATCATGTTGGTAATTTTTAATTTTCTTACAGCACATTTTTCTTATATATTTGAATATCCTGGTACATATTTGAGATAATGAGTACCAGAGTACAGATGTATTTTTTGCTGGCTTTAAAGCAGACAGACCATCCCCACTTGGAAACTTGGCGTAAAACAATCTTTCTATGCTCATTTCTTCCAATCTGGACTTCTGATAAGCTACGTTTAGTTAATAACAATAGAACTCCAGACACAGTGGCCAAACTGCCCTGGGTGATTCCACTGAGCTTTGCAGACCAACGCGATAAAGCTGATGGTAGTTATGTCCCTTTACTGATCACTCTTCTTATGTTGATTGTTTTCTTTGACGCGGTCTTAAACGAAGAAGGGAAAAAAATAAATAAATAAAAAACATTTCCCTGCCTTGTTTTCGTCCTTCATTCAAAAGAAGAAGGAGGGGGACATTATTGATAAAAACCACTCCACATTATCATATCAACTACTATTACAAAACAAAATTACAGTGGAAAATCTATCCATGGCGGATGAAATGGAAATTCTCAATAAGTTAGAAAATCTCAAGGAATTAAGGTACTTTAACTTCACGTTTAAACATTGTTTTATTAATTGATTACATGCAATTGTTTTTGTTTAGATTCAATAATTTGACTTTTTAATTTTTATTTTTCCAGAATTAAGTATTTTAAATTTGGATATCTTTTTCACTTGCATGTTTTCTCCGTTGCCACTTTCCCAACAAAATTGTATATTTTGAAATGTTTTTGTTTTCTTAATGAATGACTAAAAAAATAAATAAATTAAATAAATAAAAATATTCGACAAAACTATTGAATTTATTTTTTTAAAAATATCTTTTTTTTTTCTTTCTAAAAAAAAAATGCAAGTTTTACGAAAAAAAAAAAATACTCGTGAATAAAAATAATTCATTTAAAAAAATTGCTATTATTCTGGTACACATTAATTAAATTTTTTTCTATTTTTAAAAAAAAATCTTTTTTGAATTTTTACCTACCAGAAAAATAACCTTTTATAAAATTATTTCTCTTCATTTGAATTTTCCAAAATAAACTCTTTATTGGCATTAACCAGAATATAGGATTTATTTACTAACAAGTGGGTTTTTATTATTTACGGTGAAAAAAAAATTGTTAGGTATTTTCTTTCTTTTTCTTTTGCTAACAGAAAAATTAAAATAAGATTCCAAGTCTCTTTTTTTTTTTTTTTTTTTTTTTTTAAGAACAAATGAAAAGTGAAAACAAACCATTAAAAAATAATAACCTTAAAGAAAATAATAATGTGAAAATTTAAAATAAATTCTAAATTTAACTATTTTTTATAATTTCCATTGTCTATTTTTTTCTGGAGGGTAAAGCACTGAAGACAATGGATTCTTTCTTCACCAAATTGGTTATTGATTTTTTTAGAATTGGCATTGTTAATGATATTTTTTTTTTTTTACCAATGCTCGTTCTCAGCCTGTTTGAAGCTGTCTCTAAACATCGAACAGTACTGTAAGAATACGCTGTTTTACTGTTGATATTGAAAATTTTCCGTTTAACGTCCAAAGTGTTTTATCTAGCCTCATATTCCATCCACGTATTTTCCCCTATCATTCAACACCTGTGACCAATAAGAATTTGTAAAACGAAAATAATTAAAATAAAGAAGGTAACGGGTAAGAAGACCCATCTACTTTTTATAAAAATAAAACTAATAAAAGTCTTGTGTCTGAAACAAAAACGAAGTGTGCAAAATGCAATAAAATTTCTGAAATTGTAATTGCATTTCTGACGCTATTTTTCGTTTTGTTTCTCTAAGTATTTAATTTTTATTTTTTATTTAGAAATTCTTATTGGTCACAGAATCTGAATCTATTTTCGTATCATGACTTTATGGAATATGTCCTTAGAATATGAGGCCAGGTAAAGAAGTTTAAGGGAGGTAATTCATTACTTTGTATGCTAAAAACATTTTACATAAACCAATGATTCCTAGCATTCCCCACCTGTGGGGCGTTTGTAGGATGTGCACTCTTTGGTTTACTATACCAACATGAGCTCAAATTTCATTTTGCATTAATAGTTCATGATTGAAATGATCAAAGCATATTACAGAATAAGCTTTCATTCAAATATTTTATACTAGCAGTAGAGCCCGGCGTTGCCCGGGGATGTAACAGTAAGAGATAGATCAAGTATCGACCATCATAAAGACTGAAAAATAAAATTGACAAAGATTATTGTTTAAGGTTGACGGACACGCATGTCTTAATTAGTTTTTTTTTTTTTTTTTTTTTTTACAAATTCGATTGAATAGAATTTTATTATAAACAATTGTCTTGTAAATGCAATTTTTAAAGCATTCTGTATTTAAAAATAAAGAAAAAAGTGTGCAAGACAATAAGAAACACTATCTGCCAAAATGATTTTCACTTATTGAATACAGTAAAAAAATTGCATATTTTGCTTGTGGTGATTCATAATTAGAATTCTGATTTGAATATATTTTCCACTCGTTGTTTCTAATACAAAAAATATTAACTTTATTTGGGTTTATTAATTATGATCTAACAAATCATATTCATTTAGTAGCCTTTCTGTAATCTTTTACAATTTATGATTTTTACTTATTGAATAGAGTAAAAAAATTTAGACACCATGTGTATTTAAAGTAGTTTCCAGTTATTATTTTTAGTTAGGAGGACTTGTATATGTTTAGATTTCATTTGTTTACTTTTTGTGTATCGTTCTCTGAAAAAAAAATGTTGAGTCACCGGAAGTTAATGGCATTCGGACGTTTGAGTAGACGGCAGTAACTTCCGACCGGGTACGATACACTTAACTATGCTTTCAAATTGATTTCATGCAAAAACAATTGTGTTTTTCCAATATTTGGCGCTGTTAGAACCACCGCAAGATAATTTTATGTAGTCCTGTGATGTTTTGTTGAAATCGGTTGAAAAATGTAGGAAATCCGATCCAATATATAAACGTACACACACACACACACACACACAATCTGCGTTTTATAATAAGTAAGATTTCTGACTTTGTTTTCTATTATTTTTTGAAACTATATATATTTAAGTGTCTTTCTTTTTTTTTTTTTTTTTTTTTTTTTTTTTTCATGGATGCCATGGTTGGTGGAGGCTTGTTTAGAGACCAAGTTAATGGCCTTTTAAGCTTCTTTCACGTGAATTGCAGTAAAATTTTGAGAATGTAAGAGTTAAATATTATGGGGTGGGTATGCACCAGAATTTTAGAAATACCAGAGTGGGGCATGGCCCCAAATCAGTTGGGAAACCCCAACAAACTCTCCAATCAAATACATTCATGTCTGAAAGATTCAGATATGACATTATTTCCCCAAGACTATCAGCTATAGCTCACTGGGAAGTAATGAAATATATGATAAATCTGCAGTTAATGCCCCAGTGATCAATTTTAAAAAAATGCATTATTCCTGGCGTAAAAGCCTGCTTATTACAAAAATAGCAATAAAAACTGAGGAAACTCTACTATTTAGGAGATATTGCCAATCTTGGTTGGGTCCTGGCTACAACTACTGATTGGCATACGTGCAATTACCAGACTGTGGCTATACACACCATCAGATCAACCACAGTTGAAGCAGTATGTTTCTTGATTTCTGTTCCTGAAGTCAATCCTTCACCATACCAACTGCCTTCACAGATTCCTGAGGTGGCCAGGCTGTACCCGGGACCTAACTAAGATTGGCAATATCTCCTAAATGGTAGAGTTTCCTCAATTTTTTATTGCTATTTCTGTAATAATCAGGCTTTTACACCAGGAATAATGCATTTTTTAAAAATTGAACACTGGGCCATTTTCTGCAAATTTACCAAATATAAAAATCATTTTTAAATTTTTTTTTTTCAATCTAAAGCAAAAATAACAATGAAAGCAATAATTCTAAAATTGTAATTGCATTGATGTTTGTTTTTATTCCATTTTTATTCTTTTATCACAGGGCCAAAACCTTACAATTAGAAAAGGTCAAAAGTCGTCTGAAGCAGGAGTTTGAGTTGACTGAAAATGAGGAACACTGTCTTGAGGAATACAAACAAGAGATGGAACTTCTATTGCAGGAGAAAATGGCTCATGTTGAAGAACTTCGTCTCATCCATGCTGACATTAATTTGGTAAAGCTCTTTATTTTTTCGTTTTTTTTTCTTTTTGTTTCTACATTGTCTTCAAAGGAAGCACTTAAATTTAGAGAAAAGATTTCTTTTTATCATTCTTACAAGGAATTGAAAGTGGGTAAATGGCACTCTCATGCCACTGTCTAATGCTTTGGTTGCTTGACTTGTAATTCATAGTAGTGATCTACATAATTACTTTTTGAACACCTTTAATATAATCATACATAAAAATAAACATTTAAATTTATTAAAATATCTGATTTGTTCAGACAATAGAACTTGTACTGTTGATTGTCAACACAACATTTTTCAAATCACCCCAAGCAAGGTGATAATGCTACTAAGACACAACAGGCTACTGGGAGTGAAATGGAATGATACTTTAGAAGTATCTGGAAACCCAATCTCCTAAAGAAGAAACAAGGGATAAACATCTACTCCAGTTCAAAAGACAGGGGGAGCAATGTGATCCATTCTCTCTCTTCTTCATGAAAAAGGTGGTCTTTTTTTCTTTTCTTTTTTTTTTTTTTTTCTTTCAACAAATCACAGTGACAAACAGGAAATGGAAGAATTGAGTTCAGTTGTTCAAAGAAATCTAGAAATAATTACTTTTCTTAAAATTACAAAGCAGTCAGATATTGAAGGATTGAAAAATAGCATTAGAAACAAAAGTTACATAGCACTGAAGTTTACTCTCCAGTATGTGAGAAATGAGGCTTGGAAAACTTAACACTTACAAGGTACATCAATGGCAAGAGAAATTGAGGAAAGCATCAAATGTCTTGAAAAGTCTGTGCAGGCAGATGGCAGAATACAAAACCCCGAAGAGAAAGAGAGATCAGAAAAGAGAAAGTACTACTGAAGCAACAAAATACAGGAAGCTGTGAAGAGCCACGATCATCCATGTTCTGAAAAAAACATAGCACACAGATCTTCCATACACATTCTACAACTGTACATGACATTGAATTGGTTGTTAACAAAAGTAACACCACAAATATCTGAAATCTTTGAATGATAAAACCATTTTGTCATTTTATAAACTAAATGTTTGCTTTTATAAAATAATTTTTCTTAGTTTGTTTGAAAATATAGAGAAGACAAACCTTCTCTTGGGTGTGTTGTTTTTTTTTTTTTTTTTTTTTCCAGTAAACTTCGGTACACTTTGATTTGGAAATTCTTGCAAAGTTTTAATGAAGCTTTCAGGACTTATTCACAAATGAATGAAATTATTTTTTTTTATTTTCTTAAGGAAAATCTTGGTTAAAAATTTGTTTTACATCTGTTATGCCCCCACTTACTTAATCTTATGAAATTTCAAGAAATTATTAAATTTCAACCCTCTTAATATTTATATTAGTTAAAAGCAGAACTCCTTGGAAAATTTAAATCTTTTTTCTTTTTTTTTTCTTTTTTTAAAAAACAAACACCATTCACTGGAAATCTGCAATAAACTGACATTATTTAGAGAAGCTTTTAATTGCTTTTATAAATAAGATATATTAAGGACACCATTGTTTTAAGAAAGTTTTTTCAATGAATAATGAATTGTTTTCATTACTTGTTTTTAATTATAATCAGAATTAATTCATTAAGTCTTAAATCTTTTTAAGAATTATAGCAGCCACGTGTTTTACTGACTCCCTCTTTTTTTTTTTCTTCTTTTATTGTTTTGACTTGCTGAATTCTTTTTCTAAGAATTTTGAATCCTTGCAATTTATTTTATTATAAAATGCATTATGACAAGAAGGAAAGAAGCTTTTATAATTTGAACTGTTTCCATTAGCTATTAAACAAATCAAACAAAACTTTCATTAATTTTCATGACTACATGCATAATGATATAATAATTAAAAGCATAGAAAAAAGTAAATGCCTAAATTTTTCTAGTACATTTCACTTCTAAACTGATATAAAATATTGATAATTCAAAATGTTGGATATTTTTTTCCTCTTTAAATGCTTACATTCGTTTTTCAAAATTGTAATTGTCAAATTGTCTGCCCTTCTATTTAGAATTTGTGCAAGCCTCTATTTAATACTTGAAAAAAATATGGTAAATTATATAATTATATTATCAAAGAAAGCTATAAACATTTCCAGGCTTCTAAATGAATGAAAGTTACTTTAGTAACATCTATGCTTAAATGTGTATATCTGAATTATTTTGAATTGTTCATGTTATAGTAGCAGGAATCATTTTCAGTATGTCACTTAAATATCAATTTACATTTTTTTAATGCTTTCAGATGGAGACAACCATAAAACAAGCAGAAGATGAGAGAAACAAAGCATTAGAAGCAACAAAACGGTTGTATGAAGAATACCGTCCTTTGAAAGATGAAGTGGACAGCCTAAGGGCCATGATTGGGTTAATCAAATTACCTGATCTTCAAGAAGAAGAAGAAAAACTAACTCCAGAGTAAGTCAAAGAAAATCTTTTCACCTGTCAGCATTTCCATAAAGCCTTATCTCCCTACAAGTAAAGTTTACTTGGCAGAATATACACTTATAATGGTTCAGTAAAATATGTATCTGAAGCGAATTTCATTTAAAAATGATGACTCCTTGTAAAAATTTGATCTAATCCTAGATACCTAGAGTGCAGGTAAGTTTGAGTGTTCAAAGATTATGGTGTACCTAACACAATAGTTAATTTGTTAGTCATACAAACTAACGTACTAGTGTAGGGAGTTTAATTTTCTTTGGTGCCCCACTATTATGGCCTTGTACCCAACTACAATACTTGTACAACAGTTTTTGGTTGTAATAAATATCCCTGCCAGTTGACAAAAGACTTTGATTCCCATGAATTCTGTAGCTTCTCAGCTTCATGCTTTCTTCTGACATTAAGTGGAATGATTATATTGAATCTGTTATTAAGTCTGCTGCTAAGAAAAGTTGGTTCACTATGTCAATACTAGACAATTTTTTTTTTTCTCACCAGAATCTTGTCTTTCACATTTATAAGTCTATCATTGATGTGTGCATCAAATATTGTTGTCACATTTGATCTGGTGCTTTTGTTTCATATCTACAGACCTTCTTGTTAAAATTTAATCTGCAATGTTATTGGTCCTGACATCTCACCTTCAGTCACATTCCCACTGCCACAGAATAGCATGTTTTTTTTTTTTTTTTTTTTTTTTGACACTTCTGTAAATATTTTCACGGTAATGTTTTGATGAGCTTTCCCTGTTGGTACATCAACTTCATGAATTTTAGGGCTGTACTAGATTGGCAGCTAGGTTTCATAATTTCACTGTTGAAATGGCTACTTGTAACCATAGGCTCCATATTAATAGTTACTTCTCCCTCCATCTCATTTGTGGAACTCTCTCATCTATCTTCTTGGGTCCTGCTCTTTTGTCCCCTCTGTCTTTTTCACACTTAATAACCCCTTGTATCCTATTCTTGAGCTGAAGTGATTTTAAAAAAAAAAAAAAAAAAAAAATGAGGGTTTAGGTGTTGTTTCTTACCACTGATACCATATAACCAAGTACAACTTGTCATATAGCTTATGGCTATATCACATCAGTTCCCATACGATCACTGAAGTTAAGCAATGTCAAGTCTGGTCAGTATCTAGATGGGTGACCGTTTGGGAATACTGTCAGCTTGGAAGTTCACTTTTCATTTTCCATGTAAGTGTCTGGGCCTTATTCTAGACTTCTTAACTAGTAAAATAAAAAGAAAAAACAAACGATCCTCAATAAAATTCAAAAGCACTTTAATTTTCACAGCAAAGAGTTTCTTATTAATCTCTGGGTCATGTGTTTTTTCCTGATGTAAAAGAGAAATCTACTTGTTAAAATTATTTTTCCTTCTTGCTATTTTGGGCTGACTTCGGTTTCAAGTTTGTTTCCTGACAAAAACACTATACCAGAAAATGTATCATGTTTTTCAAAACATTTCTCAAAGAAAGTATTAAAATATTTTATTTTATTTTTTTAACGTTTATATCAAAAAGATTACATGAAAAATTATCTGAAAGTATTGTGGTGGCAATTTCTTGCCTGACGATAATGTCATGGAAATCTATTCTATTTTTTTTTTTTTTTTTTTTTATGCATAAAATTCAATGTAAAAGTTTCTGATTGGTGGTAAAAGATTTCCGTTTAAATTGCATTTACAAATGGACGAGAAATTGAAAAGTTGTCTCCCTTGAGTTAAAACAGAGTGCGATTACTTTTTAGCATAGTTTCTACTGGGAGGGGGTAATTATGAGGAAGGGGTTTACCCAAGTGCTCACGCATCCATCTATCCCAATGTATATGGTAATGGGATATACTGCAGGGATCATGGATTTATGCCTTTTCCTAAAGGTATTACTGCTCATCGAACATGAACTGGCTCTGCTAGAAGTCTATTAATCAGGTTCCATGTTGAAACTGTAAAGTGACACTAGTAAATGTCCTAATGAATATTTCCTATTTAAAATGAGACAACTTTGTTCATTCCTGTGTCTTATTGAAAATAATTACATTTAATTCTGATTGTCTGTTCAAAATACAGCATAAATATTATAATAATAGTGTGCGTTATAATTTCTGTATTTTGCAACAAAACTATTTTTGTTGAAGAGAAAGACACACAGCTGGATATCTGTGTTACAAGCTTTTATTTACCTATGAACATTTAAGGAAGCAGTAATGTTTCAATTAACAAAAACTACTAATGCTATGGCTTATAAAACACCAGGAATAGAAGAGTCTATTTTTCTATGCAACTCCTTATGTATTTCAGATATTTTGAAAAACAAAACGTTGAATGGCAGACAGAAACAGTAGAGTCAACTTTGCCTCAGTCATTAGCAATGGCAGCTGCTGCTGCACAACAGATCCAAGTGCCACGCAACAAAAATGAACGACAAGCATTCCGTCAACAACCACCACCCATGAAGGTAAGCTGCCACTAGATATTCTTTGAAATCATACATTCAAATATAATTGCATCTCAGCAAGATTGACCATGGGAACAACAGCTTTCTGTCTGAGCAAGTCAGTAGGAACCTGGGTTTGTCAAATTCATTCACTCTCTCATTTTAATCATTGTCATACCTCAAAAAAAAATATTTTGTCACAGATATCTGGTAATAGGACAGAATCCTTTCCTAAAACATCAGTGTGATGACCTTAGCTGAAAATTCAAACTCTGACAATTCTATTTTCTGTACTGATAAATATGCCATCCAGTAAAGGTAGTATTTTATTTATTTATTTATTTATTTTTTTTCAGTGTTTGTTCCAAAAAAAGAATGGAACCATTTTGTTTCTTGGGTATTACTATGCTTAATTTTTTAACTCTTATTTTAATAGCTTTTTTTTTTTTTTTTTATTATTATTATCATCACAAACTATTGTTTAAACCTATAAGAAAGAAAGAAGCCTCTGTTGAAACTGATTCCTTTTCTGCAAAAAGTTTTTCATAACGTGACCTAATCAATAAGGCCACATTAAAACAGGCTTTCTAAGAAAAAGATTGTAAATTGAAATCTCTCCAGAGATTTATTTATTTAAGTGTTGTTTACTGATTGAAGAAGGGCATTACAATGATGCTTCATCAAAAAAAAAGTAACTGTTTATTACTAATACTATTTGGATAGGTGTGATGCCCTGAACTTGCTGTATGTTTCATAGTTCTCCTTCAGTCTCTGGACAATCACTTCCCTTCATGAACACTCTTTACCTTTCTGGTACTTGTCCATTTTGTTTCAATGTTTTTCCTCTGCTTCTCTTGCTGATGTAATCTAAACCTCTTTTTCTTATGTATAACTAAAATTTCACTTGTTTCTTACTGATTGTTACTAACAGTTTCTTTGTCTTTTTCTTCTGAGAACTTCATTTGTCACATGATCAGTTTATTGTATTCTTAACATTTAATCAATACAACTACATCTTGGTTGTCTTTTAATCTTTTATTTGTGATGAAATATAATCTTACGCCATATAAGAGAGCAGACATTACTTTTCTATCATGGTACACATGTTGTTTCTCCAACTTGTCTTTTAACATCTGAAAGTTATTCTGTAATGTTATTCTAGTAACAATCATTATTGTGTTAATCCATATTTTTGATTTAACTTCTTGAAGGGTTCATTTCTACACTAATTAAACATTTTTTCTTCTGCTAGTTATTTTTGTCTTTAATTCCTTATTCCAACTTGCAAGTGTGTGAAATTCTTGTCAATAAACAAACACAATTTTATAATCTTCACCATAGGAATTTAAAAAAAAAAATTCTTTCTCAATTCATATTTTCCTCAGTCTGCTAATTGAAACTTAGAATATAAAAATATTTTGTGGAAAAAAAAAAGCAATTTATTGCAGATTTATTCAATGTTTACTTTGTGCAATGATTAGCAAACTGATCCATCAGACCAAGCATTTAGTGAAAGTTGATCTTCTCTCAATACACCACACTGGTCACCTTTTGGCAGACATTTTATTCTTCCTTTTCATGAAATTGGTAAAACAGTGTTAGACATTGCTCACAAGAATTAAAAGCATATTTTGTATTTTCAAACAGATTACATTATAATAAATTAGAAGCTAATTTAAGAGTATAACAATTACACTTTGTAAAAAAAGATCCAAGCTTGAACTGACACCACAGAAATATGTCTCTCGGTGCTCGTATGTCTTGATAATTTCCCTTATAACTCATTTTGTTTTATTCCTATAATAGACCAAATGCTGCTCATCATATACAGTGTAACTTGGATATAAGAGATTTTCTCTGGTCCCAAATTAGAGCCTGTGTTAATGTATATAAAATAGACCAAACCCGGATATAAGAGACTTCTTCTCCGGTCCTGACAACTCTCTTATATCCAGGTTACACTGTACTGTATATACTCCTGTATAGCACAACCCCTGAATTTTTTTATTTTTTTTTTTTTTTTGCTGCATGAATTTTAACTCCTCCAGAAAGAAGTCACCGAAAATGCATGATTTTTAATATCTTCCAAAAGAATTACCTATGTATAGTGCAACCCTTATATTTTGCACAAAAAAACTGATCATAAAAACTCGCACTATACCCCAGTATATATGCAAGGGTAATGATATTGTCAGCACCCATGGAATTTCCAAGGGTTCCATTAATTATTATTTGAGACTTAATTATATTTTATGCCACAAATGACGTATGTCTCAGCATTTTATTTATTTATTTTTTTTTTTTTTTAGGCCTGCCTATCATGTCACCAACAGATTCACAGAAATGCTCCCATATGTCCATTGTGCAAGGCCAAAAGCAGATCTCGCAACCCCAAGAAACCTAAACGCAAATTGGATGAATGAAGTCTGTTTTGTGTGCAGAGCTCAAAACCTTTTTCCATTTTGTCCATTTCTCTTCATTTAGTCTTTGGCCGTCCAATTCATCTGTAACAGATTTGACAAACCATTAAAAAACTTTTTTCTTAAAATATTGCTACAGTTTTATGTTATTTTGATCTAGAAAATCAGTTGCAAGAGGTAAATGGTCATTTTAAAGTAAAGTATAGCTTGTTTTCAAAAGCTCACACAGATTTTCTTAAATCTTTTTTTTTTTTTTTTTTTAAATCCCAGGCAAACAAAATGCTAAAATCTGTACTAACTAATATACCAACATAAGCTATCTGCAGCCTCCTTCACTTTCCAACAATGCATACCGTCAATTATCTGGAGTTTGTTCGGTAAGTTGTTTTTTGCTGAGGGAAGGAAGAGACCCTCGAGTCCAAAGTGATGTATTGACAATATCAGACACAAAGCTAAAAATGTTGGAACAAGTAGTAAAGGCTAAAAGAAAAAAAATACTTCTCAACCAATGAATATTCCTTTATGTAATGAGGACAAAATTGTGATCACTTTAATTTGTGTTTTCATATTGAATAACATGGAATATCTTAAAATATCTGGTCATCTGTTCAATAAAATTAGACAACAATACAAACAAACTGAAAGTCTACCTATTGACAATGCTATCCATACACAAGGCTGTAATGTTAGATCATTTTCATAAATAGATGGAAAATTAATGATGGCAACTTTAGTAATTAACTCTTAAATACACCAAATTATTTGACAAAAAAATAAGAAAAATACTAAATTTAATTTATTTGCTAACATGATTCGTACAAAGGCAATTAAAAAAATAGATTTGTTCTTTTTGCTGTAAAAGACAAATTTAAGGCACAAGAAAAAAATCTCTTGGTCAATTCTACATAGAAATAATAACAGAAAATATTGGATATGCTTTTCCAAGAAAAGTGTTGCTTCATGTATTTTGAATGTCGTGTATAGGTAAGTTAACATGTACAGATCTGATTTGATAAGTATGATATTTAAGGCTGGATGGAAAAAGCAGAAATAGTGTATTTCTTATGATTAAGGTAAAAACTTTTAACAAGATCTGAATGTGTAAAGTTATTTTTTAAAATTTGTAGCTAAATTTGAAAATAGATCATTAAAACCTGAAAGGATCATTGTGGATATTTTTTTATTTTTTTTTTTTACTTTGAGAGCCAGTAAAAAAAAAAAAAAGTATTCATTTGTCCTATTTTTTTTCCCACCTAAAGTTATTAACTACAGAAACGACTTTTAATTAATCACTTGGCTAAGACAACCATTTTAAGAATAAAGGACTTATTTGGAATAAAAAAAAAAACAGTTAATCAAATAAAATGAATATTCTCTAGTTTTTTTCTTTATACTGCCAATGCTCCAAGATTTGGTAGCTCAGAAAAAAAATCGTAAAACAGACAAAATTGTAAACATGAAAAAATCTGTAAAATGAGATATGATAGATTTGTTCAAGCAACAAGACAGAAGTTAAGTAAAAGAGATTAAAAACAAGGGAGCTACTATTTTGTTTTACATAAAAGATGTTATTTTTATATTTTTTTTTTTCCATGATGGACAATTTCTGAAATATGAATTCATTTTCTATATAAAAATGATTATTTCCAGTAATGAAAAAAAATCTATCGATTTATGTGATGAGTGATTAGTAAAACAAAATTAGAAAAATAAATCTGGTTTGAGTCTTAAAAAAAATAAGTAATGCTGGATTCATCCAAATGCCAACCTTTTCTATAGAAGTATTAAAGAGATCATTAGCACTTAAGCATAAGGGAGGAATTGGGGCATTCCCTAATGTTTGTGGTTAGTAATGTGCAGCAAAGCATATTTTTTTTTTTTTTTTTTCAGTATTATACATTGTTACTTTGAGTTCTTTTAAACTGTCACAGGAAATCTTTACAGATGCTCAGTTTAAGAATTGGCACAACCAAAGAGAATAGCATTTTCAATAATTCAAAATTAGAATTATCACAGGAAATTGATTCTTCTCATCTGAATAGAACCTGCCAGAGTAATAAACCCAGTTACATGTCTGTGTCAGGCAGACCAGTACCACCTCCCTGCCACATTAAGACCAATGCATGGTAAAAATCATCTAAAACTAATGACAAACATTTTCCCTCCTCCCTTATAATCTTGAGTTTATTCATGGCCTCAATTATTAATTATGATTTCAATATTTTTTCTTTTTTTTTTTTTTCATACCCCACCATCACAATTATGTGAGTTGAATTTGAGTTAATAAAAAGTCAAACAATATAAGAGATTTTTTTTTTTCCCCCCCAATATGTGTAGGGAGAAAATTCAATTTCATTAGTGACAAGTAATTTTTATGAATTTCATGACTTTACAAAGACAGGCTTTTTTTTCTTTTTTTAGTCTTTTGGAAAAGTATATTTACACTTATTTTGATAAATTTTGATTGCCTTTTAACCCTGACCACTGCTTTACCGGTGGTAGAAAAAAATGATGTAATGCCCAGCCACCAGTTGAACAGTGAGTAAACACTTGTAACTATTTTATATCTACCCTGAAACATTACATACCAATTATTTGCAAATTTTGACTCAGGAACTCAGGCAGAAGAAAGGTTAAACTTGTCCAGGAACGCAGGGGTCAAAGGGTTAAAGTATTTTAAGGTTTACGTATGAACTAAAACTCATTTTGTGACTAAAAAAAAAAATCTAACTTAAAATATTTATAGCAACTTGGAATGTAAAACCACACTAAGCATGTCAAATGATTGTATTAACCTTTAAATAAAAAAAATCATTGTACATTATTTGTAGCACCTTTTTGACTTCTTAACTTAGAAATATTTGGTCAATATAATTATTTTGCAGCTGTGATAAAATTCATGAGATTAAGTTCTTGACCTGATCCACTTCCTCAAATCAGACCAAACAACAGAATTTATTTTGGGATTGCCACTTGGTTGAGCCAAGACCTGTTCATCACCTTGTCATAAGAACCTATTAAATTTTTTACATTTTGATGACCAATTTATACAAAATTTGTATTTGGTTAGTCATATTTGACTGGAAATGATGAATAGACTAAATCTTAAGTGTTCTTATAATACATTAGTACCTGGTTGAAAAGACTATCATAGAATTTCTCTACAAAAAATATAACAGAGCAAATCCAATTTATATTTAATGTATATGGCAAAGAAAAATAACTAATATAATGGCTTTTTAACTCAGCAACAGAAAATATCTATCTATATATATATAGTACAGGTAATAAATCTGTTGATATATAACCCAAGTGGATCCTAATAATATAAAATATTAAAACTATACAAAATTATGTAATATATATATATATTGTATGTCTGTATGATAAAATGGGAAAAATTCTATATAGCATATTTCATCTTCAAAAAACTTCCACAGACTAAATGTTTTTATTGCTAGAATCATATGTAGGAGGGAACAAAATACAAACAAATGTTCCCTACCCTCTCATATATACATAAATAAAAACATTAGCCCTGAAGAAGTCCTTTGGAAGGGCAAAATGTATCTCACATGGAATTTTTCCCGTTTTTTTTTTTTTAATTCAATTACCCACTATTTGTCTCCCTTTAAAATAACGGCACTAATTAAAGGACTATTAAGAAAGAGGTTAAAAAATATAAAGCACCATAGAAGTTGGTTTGATCTCTAATCCAAATAGTCTTTTTCTTTCATTATTGCTACTTTTTTTTTTTTTTTTTTTTTAATCAAATTTCAGTTTTGATTCTAACATTTCTCAAATGGATTTAACATATGAACGATCAAGAAATGAAAGACATTTTTCACTTTGTAAATCTGGTTATTTAAAAACAAATTAAAGATCTTTTAAATAATTTAAACGGCTCTAATAAAAAGAACAAAGGTGTGTAAAGAAAACTATTTGGATCACTTCCTGTCAAAATTTGTATTTTTGAGATATATTTAAAAATCCTAACCAGGTTGTATTAATATTCACGAGATATCAAGGAGAGGCTTTGTGTCTGATGTGTCACCGGCATTATCATCTATTATGTTGGGTTCGTGTATTTGGGGGACTGTATTTATTGAAGGTGCTACAGCAGCTCCTGCCACTGCTGCTGGTACTACTGGCTGAGGAAGGACATCTGAAGGCTATGAGGAAGAGAAATAAAAAAAACTTTGAATTTTTCATTGTACTTATTTAAAAAAAAAAAAAAAAAAAAAAAAAAAACAGACACAATAAACATATATTTTGAATGTAAGTTAACATGTACAAACCTGACTTGATAAATATAAATGACATATTCAAGGTTGGATGGAAAAAGCAGAAATTGTTTACTTTTTATTAAGTTAAAAACTTTTAAAATGATCTGAATATGTAAAGATATTTTTTAAACTTATAGCTGAATTTGAAAATAGATCATTAAAACTTGAAACTTCAAGAATAAAAAAAAAGGTTAATCAAATACAATATGGTGGCTTGGATTGAGAAATCGGAGAGCCAAGTTTGAATTCCAGTCAAATCCATTACATTCACTTACATGCTAATACCCTTGTGAAAGGTATGAATCCTCTTCTTACCCCCACCCCACAAGCTATGGGTAAATAGCAGGACAGACCAGGTTTTATAGCCTTGGATGACAACTGGCTTACCACAGAAAGAAATGGCAACCTACTACAGGAAAAATCTGCCTCATCAGTCATGTATCAAAAGAAGCATGTATCATGCATGGCACATAACTGACTGACTGATTCTTTAGTTTAAAAAACTATGAATGTTCTTTTAATAAAAGTTTCAACTTCAAATTAATACATGAATGGCTATAAATATTACTTGTTAAGAAAAATATTAATGTTAGAAACTAACATCTTTGTTTATTGTTTGTTTCATATTTATCTGAAAGAAGTTGCAGAATGTGGCAAGCCTCTTGCTGTTCTACCGCTACTTCCATGGAAAGTGCTCAGACAAACTACAGTCCTTGGTCCTGCCAAGTCAAATCTTCACAGCAAGAACACACCATGCCATTTACATAGTAGCAAACCACCCACATTCTCTCCGTATTCAATCAGCAACAAGTAAGTTCCACTCGAGCAGCTTCACTGCCTTGTGGAACTGACTCCCAACAGGATGTTTCCCTGATCATTACAATCTTAACTTGTTCAAAGCTTGGTTTAACCATTATCTCCTATTCACACAAATGTTCTAACATAACCCTCTACTTCTAGAGCCCCCAACCCTGAGCCTTGTAAAAGGGGTAAACCTTACTGTGTATAAAAAAAATAAAAATATCATAACTTTGATTTCTGAATTTTGACTTAATTTCAATATGCTAATTTATAATGCAAACAAGACTTATCATTTGTTGCCTCTTTTTTCTAAGAAGAAAAAATAAAAGATGGATTTCTTCTTTTTTTTTTTTTTAAACAGTTAACCTTCACTCTATACAAGGCCTGGGGACACCTTGATATAAAGGGTTACATTAAGGGGTAGTTTATATGGATAAGAAATTAATTAGACTTGAACAGGTTAAGAGTATAGTGATTGGGCAAATATCCTCTGTGAGAGTCTGTTCCACAGGGCAGTGGTTCGTGGGAAGTATCTGTTTGAGTGGAACTTACTTCTCACTGATGGAATATGGGTGAATTGCTACTATGTAAGTAGCATGGCAGGTCCTAGCCATGAAAGTTAGACCTGGCAGAACAAAGGAACGAAGTCTGTCCAAGCACTTTCTATAGAAGTAGCAATAGATCAGTGAAAGACACTGTACACCATATACATTTTGATGAAAGTGAAGTTATTTAATTTCATCAAAACCCTCACCTCAGCTTAGAATGACTCCTAAAGACAAATATCAGACTTTAGACAAAAATATATAAGCAAAGGAAAAAAAGTTTCGTTTGCTTAAAATCATTTTACTTCCATTATTATTTTTTTTTTTTTTTAAAAGTGTTATTCATCACCTTAGGCACACATTACTTACCCTATAAAAATTATTCCAGATAAGATTAAAAATATATTAACATATTATTTCTTTCAATTGTATCATACGGCATTCTAGAGAGACTCTGAATTCATACCAATTATATAATGAACATTTGAAACTTGTAAGCAGAAATTTGTCTTTGAAAATCTGTATCTCTAATATGCAAAATTCAGTTTGCAATATTCACAATAAAATGATTACAATACTTCCAGAAGTAATATAGAGTAAATCTGGAGAAAGACTAAAGTCAGGCAGTAAACATAGCATTTAGCAGTCATAACAGCTGTTGTTGATTTGGAGAAAGACAATTTTACTGTAAAATTACTGATCATTTTCCTTATAAGCCAAAAAGAATTCAAATGAATTATATCTAAAAGGATAAATTAAGATAATATTTTATGTTACTACTTATTCATATGTTAAATAAAAAAAAAATAAATTGTTCATTTTCGCTTATCTTAACAGTGTTATTTGCTTACCACAGCATAATTTTCAAGGTACATGATATATAGATGTACACAACATTTAGTGACATACACAACATGTAGCAACATACCTTTATTTCTCTGTTGCTAAGTTGTCGAGATACTTTTGCTCTGGCGACTTGGATTTTCTTTTGGATATCAACAAAGATGTCGGTTTCATCAATAATCTCCTCTTGTATTAATTCCTCTAAGACATCTTCCAATGTGATTATTCCAACCAACTAGAGAAAGAGAACCAAAAATTAATTAAATCAGCCTGTGATTTAAAATGCTGCAATTTCAAAAATTTAGGTTATCATGGAAAAGAGATCAATATTTTTTGCCAGTTATTTCAAAAAGTGAAAATTTTATATATGCTAGACTCCTTACATGTAAACTAAAATGTTTAAAACATTTTATTTCTGATAATTATGTCCCAAAAAAACACATAGTAAAAAAGATGTATGGCCGTTTCAAGTACCAGTTGTACTTTGTTTTTTCAATCACAATCGGTGAGACTACTGCAACAAAGCATGACCAACTTGACTCATCAACATCTGCAGTCAACCTAATGTTCTCTCACTCATGTTCATTTTATTGAGTGGCTCAGGCTCTAAAATTTGCATAAGCAACATATTATTCTTGCAAAATCTCTGAGCTTGAGTTGTTCTTAAATGACAACTTTTGGATTGGCCATATTCTATGTATTCTATACACAAGTTGTGTACAGGTGCATTTTGTTCCAGGAAGTAAGCCATTTCCCTTTCTAATGCGGCAAAAAACAAATGTCAGACTATTAGAATATCCTGTTTTAAGTTTGAGTGAATCACAAATTCAGCAGCTATAAATACCATGAACCTCTTTCACTTTGGTTCATTCCACACCCAACCACAATCATGGGGAAGACTGCTGACTTGACTGCTGTTCAGGAGAGATTCAACAGCAGCCTCCTTGCTGAACTGGCTGGCTGTTCACATTGTGTCGTTTCAAAGTATATTCATAGAATGTTGACTGGAATTCCCACAACTGCTTGTCCCTGTTTGGCCAATAAACATAGCTGCATGCTAGGGATTTCATATGGCTAATACTTTGGTGACCATAATGGAATTACTTTATCGCTCTTTCATATAATTCACACGTTCTGCAAAAAGAAAACAGCTGTCGACTTCTGACAATGAAGATTGACACTGAAAGAATGGCTGAATTCTTTTGTCAGTGCATACTTCTGGCCATTTTGTACAATGGAAGCATATCACTTTTTTTAACACTGGATCAGAAGCTGTGGCTTCATGGATCATTGTAGAAGTAATTGGTAATGCCCTTACAGTGGTTACATCAGAAATCAAGTTAGCCGAGGCACTTAACTGAGGATTTGCTAAGACTAATTTTGTCTAAGGTAGAAAATAGATTCATGGTTTCTTGAACTTTTAGTCAGCATTTAATGTATAAGCAAAATAACAATGCCTGGTCCATTTCAAACTAATTCAAAATAATTTTCTATGCAAAGATAAACAGTAAACAAACTACAACCAAATATCAAACAGTGAAAACATGGAATGGAAAGTATATATATTACTCGCTCACTCCCTAAGAACCAAATAACACACACACAGACTTAACAGAGATGCATCCCCTCTCCAGGAACCAATAAAACTGTCAAACTGACCAAGGGAATTCAGAGCAGCATGGATCCATCCAGCTCTTATCTCAAATAACAACTTGAAAGAGACTGTTTGACCAACACAAGGAATGTTAAAAGATTCATGTTAAAAAGATAAAAAAATAAAAAAACAAATGAAAACTACAGACAAAAGTTCATTTTCTCCATCAAGACATTCATTTCTGTAGTTTAGTGCTACCAGCAAGCAGAAATATTTCTTCTCCCGATGATGGCCATTTTAGCCGAAACTAGTCAAGGAATCTAAATGAAATAATAATAATAAAAATGAAAGAATATTAATCTACAACCCAGTGTGTCTGAAGATTTTAATTTTTTAATATTTTTCATTGTTCAAAATATATATATATATATATATATATATATATATCATGATGAGTGAATGGAGTGATTACTGGAGGATCTCTCTATGAAACTGAGTCAGGATGCTGAAGGTAATACCAATCAGCTAAGTGACAAACATTATATGTGTATTAATTATATATATATATATATATATACACCTACCTTCTCACTTGATTGAGTTTCTAAAAGATCACAATCATCTGTATCATCTGCAGGAAATTCTTGATCTGTCACAACACACAGATGGCCTGTTGAAAAGAAAAAAAAAAGAAAAAAGATTGAATAGATTTTTAACAGGATCTGTTTTGAATTTCTCAAGAACTGCTTGTGCAATTTTGACGTAACTTGACAACCAATCAGTGGGGACATTACTGCACATGTGGGAACAGATTATAAAATATCTTATAAGCATGGAAAGCAGAATAAGAACAATCTATAAAGGATTCATGTCAAAATTATGAGAAGATTGCTGAGTATGAAGACAGACACCTGAAGAAGACCAGATGATACAATGGAGTATTGCTGCCATATATGGTCTGGAGCCCCTTCTGTTTGTCTCAGGGTTCTTGATAAAATCCAGAGATGGTCTAGCATTTTTTCTGCAGTTACTCTCTCACAGACATGCCGTCGCCTCCCTCTGTCTTTTTTACAAATACTTTCAGAGTAACTGCTCCGATGAGCTGCTTTCGCTGGTTCCCAGACTTCATGAATTTAAGTGTTCTACTAGGCTGGCATCTCACTCACACACACCCTTTCACTGTCAAAACTGTTAAACGTAGCCGTCTCTTCTACTCCAATAGCTTTATATCTTGCACTTCTTGCCTGTGAAATTCCCTCCCTTTTTCCTGTTTCCCTGATAGCTATAATCTCCAACTATTCAAATGTAATGTCAATCGACGTCTCCAGATGCCTGGATCTATCCCCTATCCTTCTCTTCATCCTTTCCTCTATCACTCTTATTTGCTCTCACTTCAACTCTCTGTAACCCCTTGCGTGATAGTGGCTTCCCGCCTTGCTTGGGGTGAAATGCTTAAAAAAAAAATGTTATGAGTATAATAACCAAGACAAGTAAACTAGTTTGAATAGCAGGAGATATAAGCTTTTCTCAATAATGGTTGGTTGGTTGATTTTGTTTAGTCGTATATCAACCTCTATGGATTATTTAATGCCGGTTTGTAGATCATAAAATGCATTGATGGTAATTTCATTACAAAAATATATTGTTGGTAATGTTTTTATAAAAAATGTATTACTTGTATTTTTATACTTTTTTAGTGTTGTACTGATTGTCATTTTGCTATAAAAATGTATTGCTGGTCATTTTACTATAAAACTAACCTGTTGAGTTTTTTTGCCAGAGGTCACTATATGCCCATAGCTGGCACCCTAACAGGTGCTACCACCCTAGGTCAGGATGGACCTGGGAACAACAGCAATTAAGAGGTAGTTCTACAGTCCACAAAACTTCCACTTTCTTGATCAGAGGCCTTGCTGCCAGATATAAAGTTTTTTTAAATTATATTTTAACCTTAGTTTTTATAAGTCAGAAAGTTGTGGTCATATTCAGCTATCACTGATCCACTGAAAAGGCTGCTTGCTTTCTTTGAAATTTTCATTTCAAGAAGCAAATTATTTGGCACTCAAATTCTTTCTCAAAATCATACATATTATAAAACCCAGGTTGTGTGTGTGTGTGTGTGTGTCTGTACGTTTATATATTGGATCGGATTTCTTACATTTTTCAACTGATTTCAACAAAACTTCACAGGACTACGTAAAATTACCTTGCGGTGGTTCTGACAGTGCCAAAAATTGAAAAAACACAATTGTTTTTGTGTGAAATCAATTTGAAAACACAATTAAGAGGCATCGCGAGAATGAAAGGGGGACAACTCGTATCGAGTTATACTTATTATAAAACCCAGGTTGTGTGTGTGTGTGTGTGTGTGTGTGTGTGTGTGTGTGTTCGTTTATATATGGGATCAGATTTCCTACATTTTTCAACTGATTTCAACAAAACTTCACTTTTTTTTGGCAGGTAGTGTTTCTTATTGTCTTGCACACTTTTTTCATTATTTTTACATTCAGAATGCTTTAAAAATTCTATTTACAAGACAATTGTTTATAATAAAATTCTATTCAATCGGTAGACTCATAACGATTGAAAACAATGTTTTTGTTTGAGTTTGGGTTTGACCAATTCGTAAAAAAAAAAAAAATATAATTAAGACATGCGTGTCCGTCAACCTTAAACAATAATCTTTGTCAATTTTATTTTCAGTCTTTATGATGGTCGATACTTGATCTATCTCTTACTGTTACATCCCAGGGCAACGCTGGGCTCTACTGCTAGTATCTTATAAAATATCAGCCATTTTTTTCACTAGGATTTGAGGAGTAGTTGATTTAATCAAGTTTTTCTATTCTATATATGAGTATTTAATAAACCTCTTCTTTGTTTTCCCTACCAGGTCCTCCGCTCCTTCAATACTCTTTCTAAATATGGACATCCTAATTCTCGGCTATTTTGAACAAAGATAACACTTTTAGGCTGCATTTATTTTTTTTTGTAAACAGCAATCAAAGTGAGACTTACTTTTACCCGTTTGGAAAAGGTTGAGAAGAGTAAACAAAGGCATATCCATAGGAATGTGTGGCACCTTCCTGAAAGCAGTACCATTCAATAGATCCCTTACAGGTGTTGCATCATCAGGATCAAGGATAATAAGGTTTTTAATTAAGAGAATTCCAATAATCCTTTGGTTTTTGTCCATCACAGGCACCCTGGAGTGACCAGCCGAGAGCTAAAGGAAAGGCAAAAAAAAAAAAAAAGAAAAAGTTAAATGAAGCAAGATTCATATAAAACAAAAATCAGATCTAAAGGAGGGGGAAAAAATAAAATTAAAATAAGAGAAAAAAAAAATAATTCAAATCAAAAGGAGGTGAGGAGGGAGGTGAATAAAATAAAATTAAAATAAAAAAATAAAACAAAATCCAAATCTAAAGGAGGGAAAAAATGAATATAATCAAAAGTTAAATGAAGCAAGATTCACAAAAAGGAAATTTAGATCTTAAGACATCATCCTCTGACCTGTTAGGCATTTCAAGTCAAGCAGGTTTTAAAATTTCAGGAATAAATTATGACTTGAACTTTTGCATTATTCACACACACACACACACATTATATTTATATATATATATATATATATATATATATATATATATATATATATATTTCCAAGAGGCTAGAATACAGATAGAGCTCATTTTGAATTTGTAGTTCTGATGAATTGGATCATGATTATGATTCCAATGTAATTATAACCATGGAATATTAGTGTTTGAGCCTTTTATATTATATATATATATATATATATATATATATTCATTCAGACAAGTTTGTTAAATAATTTAGTCATATCATGTCAATTTATTTTGGCTGTGATCCTTTCAAGTTCACGGATTAATTTCTTGGTAGCCTTAGAAAATTGATTAAGAAAAATATCAAAATTTTCTTTCAAATATTTATTTTCCCAAGTACTTTCAATCTCATCAGATCCTGTCTTCAGGGAGCTAAAATGTCTGTGAATGTGTATATGTATTTCTGTAAATTCAAAACCTTTCAACTGTTCATTTTACTGCAATATGCAGCATTCTGGACTTCAAATTCATACTCATACTGTGGAGAGAAAAAACAGTGAATTTTGAAACTTGTTTGAATAAAAATATGCTGTCTAAATATACACAATATATATATATATATATATATATATATATATACACATACATATATACACATACATATATATTTTCTACACATATATAATGGATTCCAGTTCAAAGCAACTGTGCAACTTTTTAAATCAAATTGTTTTTACATAAAAAATCAATTTAAAAAGAAATAAAAAAAACTTTTTGGGAGCAAAATTCATGATCCTGGTGTGTTCTACTTTGGCAGCATTCTCAATATATGAGGAAAGGATGAAAAGTTCTCTGTCTGACTCACTAAACAAAATCTGTCCAAAAGACAAATTATCAGGATCAGAATTTTTTATTGTTTTGAAAGATCTACTTGGTTGGGTCAACAGGGTTTCTGCACCTCCTCTCTCTCACACACACACACACACAAAAAGGATGAAGATAATTGTAAAAACTATGCTTATAGGTACATAATATTTAATAACAAGTGTAACTGCTTTGATGAGCTCTTCACTATGGTACCTAGACATTATGAATTTAAGTGCAGTACTAGATTGGTATCAAGTTCTCATCAATTTAGTTAAGCTGGCTAGATGTATCCGTAGGTTCTATGCTAACAGTTTTTTCTCGCAATTCTCACTTGTGGAACTCCCTTCCAGTTCCATGGTTTCCAGCCAACTTTAATTTGTAAAAATTTAAATACAATTTCAATTGCTATCAATTGTCCTCCTGATTGCCCTTTTTTCTTTCTACTCATTATTAATGTTTCTGTTCCTAATTCTTCCACACCCTGTAACACTGTGTCTTAGTGGTTTTATTGCCTTGCATAAGGTGATACTAATTTTTTAAAAAAAGGAGTTTATTAATGAATGGACCCTTGTTAACAGTGACAATGAGTATAATATCTTTTCAGTTACTACTACTACTACTACATGAATAGTCAAGTAGTAATTGCAGTATAGTATTTCCTTCAAGTTCTCACTCTCCTACTCATCTTCATCAAACATTGGAGATTACAAGATTGATGGAGGTGATCAAGGGGTCAAATGAATGACAAAAACAGTTCTGCTATGAACAGTATGGAGAGAGAGCTTCTGGAACAGAAACCTATGATTATTTGGAGATTTTGTCTTAAACAAACTGGTTCCCACCCACCACCAAAAAGGAGGGAAAAATCTTGCAGGGAATAATTTTTTGACAGATTAGCATTCATTAGATTTCCTCAAGCCACAACATTTGTCAGAATAAAAAAATATTTATTTTTTTTATGAATTTAGAAAGTGGGTGTCCTATTCATAATATAAATACAATGTAAAATTGATCCCTGACATTTTTTACAAAAATGTAAAATGTTTTTATTTACAAAAATGTAAATGTTTGAAACTGTGCTTATACCGTTTATATCTGCATATTTTTTAATACTTTTAATAATCTATGTAAATTTTTTCTTTAATTAAGAATATATGCATCTATTTTTTAATTAAAAGGAATCCTTTTTTTGTAAAAAGAGTTTCACCTGACAAACAGTTGCTTGTTTAAAATATGTATATATTCATTTGTCCTTTAATTAAAAATGTATATTTCTGTTTCTTCTTCAATGACAAAAAATCTTTTGTAAAAAAAACTTTAAAACAAGATCAATTTCACCAGAAAAACAACTGCTACTACTTGTTTAAATATTTTCTTAAAATCAAATGCATAAAATTATATATATATATATATATATATATATATATATATATATATATATTTCTATATCATTAAGTTTTCAATTATGTATATATTTATTTATTTTTTATTTGCAAAGTATTTTTTTTTTTTTTTACACAGATCTCAATGACATAAGCACAATTTAAAACTTGACATTTGTAAATAAAAATAATGACAGATAACTCTTGAAAAAGTCAGGGATCAATTTTACACTATATCGATGAGCAGGATTCCCTACTTTTAAAATATCAATGAGCAGGACCGCCATTTTTAAAATGTTAAAAAATTAATATTCTTCAATTCTGACAAATGTAACACCATGAGGAAGATTTAATGAATGCAAATCTACAGAAATTATTTCTCAAAGATTTTTTCCATTTTTTCTTTTACACACAGACCAGTTTACTTAAGTAATGCCAAATCTTCTCAGATCAGAGAGGTAAACGAGAGAGATGCAAGTTGATGATTATGGCATAGCCACCCACAACTCCATAGGTGTACAATTTTCTCTACAGTTCTTGTTTATAAATGAACCATGGACAAATAAACATAATAAGAGGGTGACTCACCCTTTTTTTTTTTTGTGGGTTTTGTAGTCTACAAGAAATATATGGAATTTATTGTTCTTTTGTATCTCAAATAGACACAGGCTTGTTGCACTAAGTCATTGCTTATGTGATTTGCAGGGAAATGCTTAGAACATCACATCTTGTATCTTTGATATTCTTTGCAGACATGCTATTCTTCCACTCTCTCAGATGTTTCTATCTCTTGACTTTTTGGCCATTTATATTTAGACTTTGCGGTCCCCATTCTGAATTTGCTACCCACAAGAAATTTTAGTCAAGGCATCTACTAATGAGACAATGCACACTGCACAGTGATGTAAATGCCTTTCCCAAGGCCAATAATGATAAATTAACCTTAGCAGCCTCAACTGACATTAGAATTGTTTGCCCTGCTATGAAACACTATACTACTTCACACATTTAATTATTTGATGTTTGTTCAAACAACCTCAGAACATTATGAAGAGGATTTGAATTAATATTAAAACATTAATGAGCTCACCTATTAACATATTTAATGCATATGTTTCTTGTGTCATGATCCACATCTAAAACTGGGATCAGATTGCACAAATGCATTACTAAGAAACATGGAAACAAACAAAACAGAAAAGCCAGTGCTGAGAACAAAAATTAAAATAATTTTTTATAGGTTAATAAATTTATTTTTAGCCACCAAGATACAGTATAAATTGTCATATATAAATATTTCCATTTGTAACTTGAACAAAAACAGGTGGCATTATGTATGAGTTCAAATAACCAAGATAACAATAAATGTGTTAATCATTTTTAGGATTAAATATTGACTACTTGTAAACTTGTTTTGATTCATTATCTGCCTCATTTATGCTTGAAAAATGTTAAAATTTTGACAGAAACACACACAAACATATATGTATGTAAAAATTAAGATAAATAAAATATATCTGTAAAGACAACATAAATAAAAGAAAGATGGAAAGTTTTTAAAAGTGCAATTTATCAATTTGTGCCTAAATGTTAACTTACAATCTGAATTTTCTAAAATACTTCCTTTCCTAAAAGTAATACTCCTTTCTCAAAAAAAAAAAAAGAAAAGGAAACAAACTAAAAAATAAAACAAAGACAGACATCTACCTAAGCAGTAATATAGAGTGCTCTGTATCTAAATTACCAAGACAGAGTAAATACACTTCCTAATGATGACTCAGAAAGAGTCAAAGTTCAGACTACTACTCGAGTTTCATGTTACCATGATCATCAGGTGACCAGAACACAAATGGAACATTTATCCTGATAGAACACCCTGAAAACTGGGGACAGTTCTCACCAATACAAGGGGAGGGGGAGATGAAAATAAGCAAAGACTTCTGTGCATGGATCTATTTAGTATAGGTGATAATAATCTAAGTGAATAGAAGTGATAACCATATAATCGAAAGTGTAGTAAAAGCCTAAGATGAAACTAAGAACATCTAATAAATATATGCAGGTAAATCAATAAGTTTGTAGCCTAATGCAGAAAAATAAAAAGCATTGCATTTATTTTACACAACAACATATTTATTGACATAATCTTTGTCAATACTAATATTAACCACATAGACTGAACCTTGTATAGTGAGAATAAAAGAAAAATTCAGTTAATGACTACATGACAGGTTATATATTTATTGATTCCCTCTCATGCACACACACATACATACATATGTATAGATATACACATATATTACACATATGTATAGACACACACATACACATACAGAGTGAAATGGATAAATTATCATCCAAATTATGCAAACATGAAAATAATGCTGACATCTCATTTTAACAGATATATTTAC